AGCAAGGATAGCATCAAAGTCAAGATCAAAGATAGCTACACCAGCCCTAGACAGCTCACCCCAGCGGGGGATCTCAGTGGCCTCCGGGAACTGCTGGCGCCAAGCGTCCGTCAGGTGGCCAAAGCAGCGCTGGGCAGGGTGGGCACCCCCACAATGCTCACCCGCGCGGTCGCCGGTGCGAAGGACGTAGGTGCAGGGACCAAAACCCCCACCACGCTAACGCTGCGTGTACCACTCACGGAGCTGCTTAGGGGTGGGGACGTCGCGAGAACGCTGCTGCTGCTGCTGCTGCTGCTGCTGGCGCTGACCACCCCCAGTGCTGCTCCGGTGCGAAGCGCCACTCCGACCACCTCCACCTCCGCACCCTCCACCTCCGCCACCACCGCCGCCCCCGCCAGTACCGCCGCCGCCTCCGCCGCCTCCGCCTCCACTGCCGCCACCAGCACCTCCACCCCCGCCACCACCTCCACCACCACCCCCACTCCCTCCGCCGCCTCCACCTCCACCTCCACCGCCCCCGCTAGCTCCACCCGCGCCCTTGCCCCCCTTGCCCTTGCCAGGGCGGCGTCTCCCGCTAGGGGCAGACGCCGCACCGACCGACTCAAGACCAACGAGGTCGGCCGCAGCGGCAGAGGCGACAGAGGGCAAAAGGGGGGAAGGAGAACACCCCTCAAAGATGGGGGTGCGAGGGTCACCACGAGAGGCCCCTACAGCGACTATGCTCTTCTCGGCCGCTAGGAGGGACTTCTCGAGGAGGTCTACAGTGAGAGTGGTGGGACAGACTGAGAGGAAGTGGTCCCTGACTACACGAAGGGAGTCAGGGAGACGAGTGACTATGAAGTAGAGAGTGATGTACATGGGGGGGGGGGGGGGTTCTTGGCGCAGAAGTTAGCAGGAAGGGCAGCGCGGTAGCGAGTGTCACTAGTGCGAAGGTGCGTAATGAGGTCAGCGACTGTGGGAAAGGCAGCAAGGTCAGGGAAGAGGTACGGTAGCATGAGACGGCTCAGTGCAGCAGTGGCAGGGGAGGAGTAGCGCGCAACTACAGCGTCGTACAAGGTCTGAGCACTCTTGTACTGACTAAAGTGCGCGCGCTCAGCGGTAGGCAGGTGGCGACGCACAGCAAGACGTGCAGCAGCGTCGCGTGTGGCCTACTGGGAGCGAACAGTGGGGTCAGCATCAGCAACAGGGGCAGGGACGGCGCCAGAGGTGAGGTCAAAGAGAGAAAGACCGTCTGCCCTATCGCACTGTAAGAACAGCTGCAGGTCGTCGACCTAGACCTCAAAGTCAATGGCGCGACCCTCAGCGTCAAAAGCTAGGACACTAGGGGTAGCCATGACAGTAGTAGACTAGCAGTAGCGACTGTAGGACAGGGGCAGTGTAGTGACAGAGGTGTTGTTCTCACCAGACAGGGCGGTTCGGGCAGCTCAGCAGCACAGCAACACGGCAATACTGCTGCTCGGCCGGCCCAGCAGCAACACCAGCTCCGCGGGACCAGCGGCTCGGCTCCTCAGGTGACTCGGGCGGCTCGGGTGGCGCAGGCGGCTCGGGCGGCTCGGCCGGCTCGGGCGGCTCGGGTACTCAGCGGCACAGGCGGCTTGGGCGGCTCTGCTCCTCAGCGGCACAGGTGGCTCGGGCAGCTCGGGTGGCGCAGGTGGCACGGGCGGCTCGGGCGGCTCAGGTGTCACGGCGGCGTACGGGCAGCGTGGGGCCGGGACGGCGGCGCACGGCCGGGACGGGTGGCGCACGGGCGGCGTGGGGCCGGGACGGCGGCGCACGGCCGGGACGGGTGGCGCATGGGCGGCGTGGGGCTGGGACGGCGGCGCGCGGCCGGGACGGCGGCGCGCGGCCGGGACGGGTGGCGCACGGGCGGCGTGGGGGCCGGGACGATGGCGCAAGGCCGGGACGGGCGGCGCACGGGCGGCTTGGGGCCGGGACGGCGGCGCAGGGCCGGGACGGGCTGCGCACGGGCGGCGTGGGGTCGGGACGGCGGTGCGCGGCCGGGACGGGCGGCGCACGGGCGGCGTGGGGCCGGGACGGGCGGCGCACTGGCGTCGACGGGCCGGGGCAGCGGCGCGCGGCCGAGATGGGCGGCGCAGAGGCGGCGTGGGGCCGGGACGGGCGGCGCACGGGCGTCAAGGGGCCGGGACGGGCAGCGCACGGGCGTCGACGGGCCGGAGCAGCGGCGCGCGGTCAGGAAGGGCGGCGCGACGGCGGCGTGGGGCCGGGACGGGCGGCGCGCGGGCGTCTAGGGGCCGGGACGGGCGGCGCGCGGGCGTCTAAGGGCAGGGACGGGCGGCGCGCGGGCGTCTAAGGGCCGGGACAGGCGGCGCGCGGGCGTCTAGGGGCCGGGACGGGCGGCGCGCGGGCGTCTAAGGGCCGTGACGAGCGGCTAAAGGGGCCACTATGGGCCGAGAGAGAGGGGAGCGCGACTCGGGCAGGTGCAGAGCGCGCTCCGGGCAGGAAAAAAAAAGAGACGGTGGGCCCTAGGAACAGTTCCCACGAGGGAACCTGCTCTGATGCCATGAGAAAACTTAAACGAGAATGAATTAACTATGAATGAAGTGAGTACAAATATGAAACCCTAATTGGTTGTACCCCCTATGGGATACCCCACTATAGCCTACACAATAGCATAAGCTATAATGTTCTGACATCCTATTCACCCACGGATACAGTACCGACCCATTTTTTACGACTGAAAATTCACAGAAACTGCCATAAGCTAAAGGAGTCTATTACGTAAAAGCAGGCACCAACCGCATCTGGGTACCCGCGTACTCACTATTGAGGGAACTGTTACTGCAGGAGGCACACGACGGAATTACCTCGAAACATTTTGGGGTAGAAAAAACACGACAGCAGCTGCAGCAGTATTACTACAGGCCGGAGCTGTTGACCGACGTACAGCACCACGTGGGTTTGTGTCCTACGTGTCAGGTGATGAAGAGCTCGCGAAAAAGAAAGGCGGGTCAATCGCAGCCGACTCCACCGCCTGAACGTGCTTGGCAGCAAGTAACTATGGATTTCGTCACGGGGTTACCGTCGAACCCTGGGGGTAACGACACGGTTATGGTCGTCGTTGACAGATTGACGAAGATGGCACACTTTGCTGCGTGCAAGAAATCGATCTCAGCCGAAGAAACCGCTCGCCTATTCATCGCAGCCGTCGTTCGACTGCACGGGATACCAGCCGCGATCATCAGCAACAGAGACACGAAGTTCACCAGCAATTTCTAGAAGAACCCCTGGGAGCGGTTCGGGACCAGGCTACAGTTCAGCTCGTCGTACCACCCCGAGACCGACGGTCAAACGGAGCGGACGAATCAGACGATGGAGCAGTTGATTCGTGCCTCGTGCGACGACCCGACCACTTGGGAGGAGCAGCTGCCGCTGATCGAGTTCGCGTACAACAACGCCACGTCACCGTCGACGCAGCAGTCCCAGTTCTACCTGAACTACGGGCAAAACCCTACAGTGCCCATGACGCCGAGTCGGGACAACCCAATGCCACGTGCAAAATCTCGGCGAATTGCTGTGCAACCCTAAGCCCACACCAGAGCCGCTATAGCAATTAAAAAGGCCAATGTCATCGCTAAACGCAAAGCTGACCGCCAGTGCCGCCCAGTCAAGTACCAGTCAGGAGATTACAACCTGCTCGACACACAGAACTTAAGACTGCCCGTCGTGCCAAAAATACGACCGCGCTACTGTGGACCATTCCAAATGAGCCACATGATTACACCAGTAACCGCCCATCTACTGTTACCGACCGACTCGTACATCAGCCCATCATTCCACGTCAGCCTACTTCGCCCATACATCCCAACCACGAGCCAACTGCCTTGTCACCGTCCGCCATCCATGTCTCGCCCTGCATCGGAGCCGATCATCGAGCCCGAAAAGATTCTGAGCCATCGGATTCGACACCCCACGGGAATCAGGAGGATCGAGTTCCTCGTTCGCTAGAAGGATCGCACGCCAACTGAGGATAGCTAGGTGTCCCTGGCCAACATTGAAAACCACCCTGCTCTGCAAGCGTACCAGAGGAGCCGGGGTTTCCGCGATATACACGTACTTGCGTAGCGGAGGGGGCTTCTTGAGGGGGGGGGTAGTGTAAGGAATTTTCTCGACATTCCTTAGCGCATCCTGCAACATCGCGTACAGCAGCAGCCGTTGTTCGCCCGTTACTGCTAACGGGGCTTCGCCAACTTCGCGCGCACTGTTTCACCAAACCATGCACCGCTGGCCCGGCCGTGTCGGCCTACGCTTCGGGACTAGCCCGAGCCTCGTTGCCAGCCTAGCACTAGCTAGCTCGCATGCACCGCGTTACCGTTTGCATGTTTCGCGTATAAATGTTTGCTCATGCCTTAGCTCACATTTTGTACTCGTTTGACACTTAGTGCAATCCTCTCTACCTCGATTCATTGCACTCGTAACAGCTTGCTTCATCGGTGTATACTTTATTTTCTGGTTTCATGCGTGGCTTCGTTCATTCACTATGGCGCACTATCACCCGAACGTCACAAGATCGAACCCTTGTCAATGTCTATCGTCCATCGCCGAGATCCGTCAGAGTATCGACGGTGAGAAGTCACCGTAAACGAACCGCATCAAGGAACTTCCATTCCATAACATTTTTGTTTCTGAGTTTCAGCCACAATTCCCGCTCAACTTCAGAGGGGTTGTTTCGCGCCACGGCTGTCGCTTTCCTGGGTTTCTTCACTCGACTGGAGGCACTGGAAACATCGAGCTCAGGGCTGTCGATTGGTTCCAGGCCAACACTTGAGGGTCTGAGGTGCCCGTATTTCAGCCCTGAAATCTCCGGGAAGTGTCATTTTCCGACCCCTTAAGCGTCCGGGAAAGCACCTAATCAAAAACTTAAGTTCCGGGCTATAGTACAACAATCAGGGCAATCTTTATATAACTAAAACTAATGAAACCATAGTTATTTTAGAACTAAGATCTACCTATCTACCTATCTACTTTCTCAACAAAAAGATCTAAGTGGCAGGCTTGCGGAGCTTCTCCCCGTCGAAGATCTGGTACACACCTGCCCAGTCCACGTCGTAGTCTAGCATTTTCACGGTCATAAGCTCAGCCAGCCTAACATTTCTGAGAGCACACCTATCCCATGTCTTAATAATGTTCTGCCTAGAAAAGCCCCTCTCACACTCTACTGTGCTGAGAGGCAAGACAGAGATAGCACGCCAGAGAGAAACAATGTGGGGATAATCACCACGCCAGTCGGACGTGCGCAGCATGTTGGTCAAGGACTGGTGAAAACTCTGGTCCTTGAACTTCTTCTCGAGGGTGACGGTGAAGAGCCTGATCTCGGGCTCGATGTTCTCTGCTGTGATGCCTGCCAGGGGTATGGGAAGCAAAACATGAATGAATAATTGAAGAGTTGGCTAGTGCTAAGTACGTGCGCCTAACAGAAACTGTACCTGGAAGTTGATGGCTGAACATTTCCAGCAGCTGATCCATGTTGGAGGAGAACCACATGTCCTGCTCACACAGCCGATAGGGATAATTGCGAGGACGGAAAAATTGCACACCATCAAAGTGGCGGAGATCCGCCATCCTGTCTGAGAGGCTCTTGATGAGCGCCTGCGCAAACCTCTTTCCAAGGTCATAGCAGGCATTCAGATCAGAGCCGCCTTCAGTGCCAATCTTCTCTTCGTGCAGCTCAACGGCCTCGATCACCTTTTCGCCGTCCGCATTCAGCCCAGTCAGCTGCATGGTGCGGTCCTTCGAATGCTTTTCCAGAAACTTCATTAGCCTGGAGTTCGTGCCGCCCCCGAACTTGGCGTCGGGCTCGATGTAGCGCTGCGAAAGCTTGGTCTTGAGCTTGTCGACGAGGTTCTTGACCTCTGCGATGTCGACCTGGATAGAGGGCATTGGCGGCGCGAGTCAGTTGGTGGTACACGAATGTAATGAACGAAATAAACAGCAAACACTCACGCGGCTTTTCTGAAAGGAGAGGTTGAGGATGTTGAGGAGGTCAAGGACATCAGCCAGGAGGTGAAGCATGAAGTGAAATTTGAAGCTGCTCCCAATCCGCCACATCTTCTTGTTCTTCTGCTTCCACATCCACATCAGCGCCGGAAGAACATCGCAGAATCGCTGCACCGCGTCCCCTCGAGACAACCACCGCACCGCGAAGATCCCTTGCACCTCCAGGTTGGTTTTCAGGATGACCTCCTGAAGATGCAGGAAGGTTTTCCGATCCACAGACGAGCGGCCCAGGTGTTCTGCTGTCTTGCGGATCTGAGAATCCACAACCTTGAACTCTGGGATCGCGTCTGCCGCGTCCTTGGCGGCTAGCGCCTCCCTGTGGGGCGGGTGTTAACGCACATAGCAAACAACCGGCAGGGATTAGTATCATTGGAACAGCTTGAATCCGAACAGCGCGGCAGTTACATAACAAAATATCACTGCTTACCGATGGGCGACGCAGTGCACCGCGACCAGCCACGGGCAATCCTTGCGCAGCAAGGCGACGACGCCATTATGGGCTCCCGTCATGACGGAGGCGCCATCAGTGGATACGCCGACGAATCTCTCCATGGAGATCCGTTTCTCCTGGAGGTATCCCGTGATGGACGCGTGCAGGGACTTGGCGTCGGCCTTGTCGACGGGAAGATGGGCGAGGAACTGAGTCACGGGGGTCTCCGCCTTCTCGTACGTGATGTAGACGATTAGATGCTTCCCGTGTGCGCGGTCGGTTGACTCGTCGAATGCCAAGCCGAACCACGGGGAGGACCTGATGTCCGCCAGCTGCCGTTCGCCCAGGTGCGTCGCCAGTGCGCTCACGAACTCCCCGAACGCGTATCTGGGAAGAAACAATAAAAACATAGTCAGTCAAAGACGGCGGAACTAAACAATATAAGGGCGAGGATGACCTTAGACACACTCACCGTGAGAAATACCGCCCGTACGTGTCGTCGTTCTTGAGGTCAGGGCATCCTTGATCTGCAAGGAAGCGCACAAGGCTGGAGTAGAGCACAATTGGAGCATCATGCCGCGCAATCCAGTAGGCTGCTTGCATGCATTTGATGACACGAGCCATTCGCGGGTCCTTGCTGAGCATGTCGAGGAGACTGCGCTGCACTGTCTCCGTCCCTTGTGCGAGGCGCTCGGCGGTCATGGCAGCCAGGTGAACCTTGGAATGATCGTGAGACTTGCACGCGTTCTTCTGGAAGTCGCGACCACCTGCACCACCTCGACCAAACGGGGACTTAGTATGTGGTGCGTGCGTTTTGCAGACCTTGCACTTCATGCCATACTACATAAGCTTAGGGTCGAACTCGAGCGTCAGCCACGGGTATTGCAGCTTCCACACTGGGTTGAAGTGCCGCGCCATAGCCTGCTCTGACGCAGGAATCTTGAATGCCTTCCTCTTCTCCTCGTCCATTTCCGCCAGCCAATCGTTGTCCGCGACAGGCTCCGGTCGGGGAGGCAAAGGCGTGCGCATACGTTTCTTCGCAGGCCGGGTTGGTGCAGTAGTCCCGCCGAAGCTGATCACCGATTGGCGGAAGCGTGCTGGACGAAGCGGGATTCCCGACTGTGCTGCCGCGCGCTCTAGCCGGGATAACTGGGAATCGGTGATGGCCACGTTGATGTCAATGTCAAGGTACCCGCGCTTTCCTTCATCTTCTTCCTCCTCGCCTTCTTCTTCTTCATCCTCGCCCTCGGAATGTTCCTCGTCGCTTTCGGTTTCTTCCTCCTCGCCTTCGTATTCTTCCTCCTCTCCTTTGTCATCAAACTCCTGGTCAGCGTCATTAGCGACGCTGTCATCCAAGCTCACCGTGCCAACAGAGCCACAAATACCGGCTAGAGCATCGAGGGGGGAAAAATCGAACTCGCTATCTGCCTCCATCGCTGGCGTTACACCCAGCCTGCCGAGCTAAGGCGTGCGGGAAACTGAGTTGAGCTGCAGTGAAGAGAGGGGTGGCAGGGGTAGAACCATTATAGGGAGGTGATTGAGGGGAGGCGGATGGAACGTTGACATCGCGCAAGCGTGTGATGGCACGACACGAATCACACGTTACAACAACTACCACTCCACTCAAACCCTCCTGTGGTGGACATGGTAGTGGAATGGAGGGAAGGTGGCTGGGCTCGAGACGGGATGCATGAAAGTGGAGCAACGGAGAAGCGTGGTTGGGGGGAAAGAGTGCAATTGGTCAGCCAGCCGATAACATGTGACTTGGCGGCAGACAGGGATGGGTTCGGATCGGAGGAGGGATGGAATGGTGGTAAGGGGAAAACGGGAAAAGGGGGGGAGGGGGGGGGGGGGGGGGGGGGGGGGGGGTCTGGAAGGGCCGTGGAAGTTTCCGGGTAAGGCCGGAAATTTTCCCTTGGAATCAGGGAAGCCCTCCAAGAGGACCCTGTAAGATTCCGGGGAAGGCCCAGCCCACGCCCGTTACCATTCCGGGCTGTACAGAAACTCAACCCTGAGAATCTGGACTTTGGGGCAAAGTCAGACCTTAATGTTCAGGGCATTAAGGCCAAATGCCCTTGAATCGACAGCCCTGATCGAGCTCACCTTATCACATACTGGTATCTACTTTATCTTCACTCATCCTCCTCAAAGATCAGCTTTACTAGTATGGATTGGACTCGGCGGAACCATGTGACTTGCCTGCCACTTGTCACACACTGCGGGCATTGAATACGCACCTCCGCAATGTCGAAATTACCGTCGCGCGGCTGTCGCCGTCCCGCGCGCTGCAGCCTGTCGTTGTCGCAACCAACACAACGTCCCTATTCATATCTAAGTCCATCAGTCTCCTGTCATACTCTCTCAACCTTTCGTCTCGGTAGCATCACACTCGCCCTCGCTTGTTCCTCCATCGCCGCACGGCGCTCGCCGATTGATACTAGCCGAGCTCGTCCAACCAATGGTGTTTCTCCATCCGCGGATTTTTGTCGCAATCATCGCGTGTGCGAAGAATCCCAGCTGTTTCTCTCCCTCTCGCTCGGATGTCGCATGGCGTATCCGCCGCTTCGCCACATCTTTGTCGAGGGTCGTTATCGAGAGAAGGATTGCGTGTTAGAGAGCGATAGTGGGGTCTTTTGTCGCACACTTGCGCGTGCCGCGGAACGCAAGAACGGCAGCCTCGATGCAGCCAAAGTAAGTCAAAGTCACCATAACCGACCCTAGTCTCGCGCCGTCGTGGGCTGAGTACGACTAGCGCGTCGTCGACCACAGCGCCGCGCCTGGTAGTAACTGTCACGTTATTCTACCGCATGCCGTGCGAGCTAGTCCCCTCATATGGCACCTGCCGACAGAATCAAGAACATTCGAGACAGCTGGCTTAGGAGCAGCCCGGCGGTCTCGGAGACTTCTAGTTTTCAGCCTGAGCCAGTCACGTCATTGCTCCCACTGCCAAAATCAAGAACAATCGAGACAGCTGCCTTAGAAGCAGCCTGCGCAGTCAGGGGAGATCACGGTTTCCAGCCTGAGCTAGTCCCGTCATGCCAGTGGCTCCCACTGCCAAAACCAAGAACAATCGAGACAGCTGACTTAGCAGCAGCTTAGCAGTGCGGGCAGTTTGAGGAAATTATGTTTTTTCAGCCTGAGCTAGTCACGTCATGGCTCTCGCCTTCCCCGCCGGGGAAGGCGCCCTCCGACCACTCCACATGAGTCCAAGCGGCTCAACCGAGGCGGTTCGAGACTCACGCGAGTAGTCTGAATCATGCCAGCGCATGCCCGCTTTGGGGTGATAAGCGCGCCTCGGCATGCGAGACCTCTCGGGCACTCCTTCGCAAACGGCTCTCTCACAGACAGCAGCAGCCGCTGTCCGCTACTTGACTGCCGTGTCGCAGCAGCGCGGCATCAGCAACAGCATTTCTTCCCGTTCTTATTCTTTCCATCTACTGCCCTTCCAGGTTGTCCTACCCTTAGCTATCATCGCATCCCTCGCTTTCGTGACTAAGGGGCAAAGCTTGCGCGTACTTCGTTGGGAACGCATATCCCCGTTCCGGCTTTTTGATACACTCACAATCATTTAACAATACTGCTGTTTGACGGCCTTGCAACGCCTGAGCGCGACCTTTGTCGCGTGATCCGCCTCCCAACTCATTCTCCAAACTATTGCGGCTGATTGGATAGAGAATCTCGCGGCGAGACGTCTCGATACAACAATTGCTGCCGGCTCTCGCTCAGTTTCTCCTCACAACGGGGCTGCGATTCGCGACATGGCGGTGGCAGGAACACGTGGCAGCGCCTGGTTGGCTGGACGGCGTGGTGTGGTCTTAGCGGCAGTGCTGGTGGCGGCAGCAGGCCTGTTCGAACTCACCTATGCCCAAGGTGAGAATCGTTCACTTCTTTTACGTTCTTCCTTATCCTTTCACTTCTTTTACGTTCTTCCTTATCCTTTCACTTCTTTTACGTTCTTCCTTATCCTTTCACTTCTTTTACGTTCTTCCTTATCCTTTCACTTCTTTTACGTTCTTCCTTATCCTTTCACTTCTTTTACGTTCTTCCTTATCCTTTCACTTCTTTACGTTCTTCCTTATCCTTTCACTTCTTTTACGTTCTTCCTTATCCTTTCACTTCTTTCCGTCGTTTCTCCTCGACCAATGGCCTTCTGCTTGGTGTTTTTTCTCCCTCTTTTGCTCCCACCTCGTCCCATTCCCATATCTTTTCAACCTTCTCTCCTGCTCCCACCTCTTTCACCCGCGTCTCATTTTTCTCCCCCGTCTCCTTTTGTCTCTCCTCTCCTTCCCTGTCCCCGCGTCCCTCGTCCTCTCCCTCCCCTCCCCCACCCTGCCGCAGATCCCAACTGGAGGCAACTCTACCCCTATATCCGCGATGCTGCCACCTTCACTCCCCCGCCCACCTCCACCTTCGCCGCCTCCTCCCCCCCCTCCGCGCCCCCGCCCACGTTCGACTACATAGTGGTGGGAGGCGGTGCAGTGGGGTGCCCCCTGGCCGCGACCCTCTCCAAAGGCTTCTCCGTGCTGCTGCTGGAAAGAGGAGGCGTGCCCTACGACCAGGTATACCCTTCTTGCCGTTTCCGGGCCTCTTCCCTCTCCCACGCCACGCCTCCGCTCCCATATGACTTTTGAGTCGACTCAAAAGCTCCCATATCCTCCATGCCTTCTCTCCCTTCTCCTCCATATGCCCACTTACCTTCTCCGAGCCTCTCCCCCCTCCCATGCCTCCGCTCCCCATCCACCGTGCCTTCTCTCTCTCTAAAGGCGTCTCCATGCTGCTGCTGGAAAGGGGAGGCGTGCCGTACGACCAGGTATGCCTTTGAGCAGATATGTTACCGCAACCAGCACCCTCCACTAGCAGAGCAGATGCGGCCGCAGTTACAGGGCTGACACTGAAAGCATAAGTGAATCAGATCTCTTCCCCTGGCCGCCACCCTCTCTGAAGGCTTCTCCGTTTTTGAGACGTCTCAAAAATCACATCTCGTCCCCTGGCCGCCACCCTCTCTAACGGCTTCTGAGTGCTGCTGCTGGAGAGAGGAGGCGTGCCCTACGACCAACCAGGTATACACAGAGCCTTATACAGTAGTTGAGTCGCACCCTTTAGAAAACCTCTCCCTCCTTCCCTCCCTTCGATTCCACTCTAATTCTCAGCTTGCCGTCGAGAGGCCCCCCGTTATGCAATCAGCACAAGGGCAGCTGTGCCTTTCTGGTCGAACCGCCACTCCATCTCCCAGTCATGCACCCTCTCCATTCTTCCTCCTCTCTCCACTAGGACCCATTCGTCCTCTTCGTCATGCACGCACGAGGACGGCTGTGCCTCACTCACTCTCCCCAACCCCATCCTCCCCTTCCCTCCTCTTCCCCCATCTCCAGCCTTCAGTGTACCGCAGGGATGCTTCCCCCTATGTGCTCAGCACAGGCGCGTCACTCCCCTTGGCTGTCTTCCTCACTCCCCTTCCCCACATCCGCCTCCTCCCTTCCCTTCCCCCCAACTCCTCCAGCCTTCAGTGTTCCGCAGGGATGCTTCCCCCTACGTGCTCAGCATGAGGGCGTCTGTATTCATTGTTGTCTCACCCTCTTGTGCATTGTACCGAGGTGACTTTTCAGTCGACTCGAAACGAGGTGCATTTTGAGTCGACTCAAAGGTCACCTATGTGCTCAGCATCAGGGCGGCTGTATTCCTCGTTGTCTCACCCTCTTCCCTCCTCCATACCCCCCGCTACTCCATCCCCTAACACTCACAACCCCCTCTCTCCATCCCCTAACACTCACAACCCCCTCTCTCCATCCTTCCGCCATCCCTCCTCCAGCCCTCTGTGTATCGCTGAGAGGCCTTCCCCTATGTGCTCAGCACGAGGGCGGTTGTATTCTTGTTCTCTTCGAGGGGCGGCTGTGCCCTTGGTTGCCTCGCCTCCCCTGCATACCGCTCCTCACCCCTCCCCACCCACCCCTCTTCATCCTTCCGCCATCCCTCCTCCAGCCCTCAGTGTACCGTCGAGAGGCCTTCCCCTATGTGCTCAGCACGAGGGCGTCGGTGCCCTTCCGATCGGAGGATGGGGTGTGGAATCGGCGCGGAATCGTGCTGGGCGGTGGTAGCTCTGTCAACGCTGGCTTCTACAGGTATGGGTGAATGTTCACTGAATGTTCACCGAATGTTCGTCTGAAAGCGGTGAATATTCAGTGAGAGAGCGTGTATGCCAGCGCAGTAGCAGGCAGGGGGGTGGCAGGAGCTTTTCAAATGCGGGCTGCTGCAAGTACCTTTGTTGGGGAAACCTCACTCCTGCCTTATAAGATGGCAGGTTCCTTGTTGCAGGCACTTCCCCCCCCCCCCTCCCCCCCCTGTCATCGCCCTTCTCCCCTGTCATCACCCTCCACTTTTCCCACCTCCCTCCTCCCTCCATCATTTTCACTCCCCCCCCATCCCCACCATCAGTCGGGCATCAGCGGATTTCGTGCAGGCGGCAGGGTGGAACCCTGTGAGGGTGCGGCAGGCATGTGAGTGGGTGGAGGAGAGAATTGCCTTTGTGCCGCAGCTGCAGCCGGGAGGGTGGCAGCAGGCCTTCAGGCCCCAACCCTCCTCCTTACCCACCTCTCGCTTCCCTCTCTGTTCCCCCTCCCCCACCCCACCTTCCTCCACACCAGTCGGGCATCAGCGGATTTCGTGCAGGCGGCAGGGTGGGACCCTGTGAGGGTGCGGCAGGCATTCGAGTGGGTGGAGGAGAGAATTGCGTTTGTGCCGCAGCAGGAGCCGGGGGGGTGGCAGCAGGCCTTCAGGGATGGCATGTTGGAGGCGGGGCTGGGGCCGTGGAGGGGGCAGACGCCGGAGCACGTTATCGGCACCAAGGTGAGATAATGCTGCAGCAACAGAATTGGATAAAGAGTGTGCGTCAAGGTGGGGAAGGGGATTGGATTGGAGAAGAGGCAGCAGCAGGCAGGGGGGTGGCAGCAGGCGTTCAGGGATGGCATGTTGGAGGCGGGATTAGGGCCGTGGAGGGGACAGACGCCGGAGCACGTGATTGGGACCAAGGTGAGGTGATGTGACTGCAACGGGAGTTAGGTGTGGTTGGAGTGTGAGGTGTAAAGAGGACGAGAAGGGTTGGTTGGTGGGGGAACAACGGATGGCAGCAGGGGGCAGTCGTGGGGGCAGCAGCGTTTAAGTATGGCGTTATGGGGGGTTGGGGCCGTGGAGGGGATAGGAGCCAGGAGCACGTTACTGAGACCAGGGTGAGGGGTGATTTGTGGTTATAACGAGGATGAAACGCGCTTGACTCCACCGACAGCTGGCGGACAGCATGCATGGCGTATTTGAGAATTCTTGAGAACCAACGGCGTGCGCGGGCGTGCAGCAAACATGCTGAATGCAAGAGACATACCCCTCTCAATGCCCCTTTGTCCCCTTTCTTTCCCTCCGAAAAACCATTCCACTCTTCCCCACTTGCTGCTTTCACAGCTCGCCAAGAGCATATTCGACAGCAGCGGCACGCGCAGGACAGCAGCAGATCTGCTCAAAGTGCTGTGCACCCCTCCCACTCATCTCCACTCCTCCCCACTCCTCCCCACTCCTCCCCACCACTACAGCTCGCCAACAGCATATTTGACAGCAACGGCACGCGCAGGACAGCAGCAGATCTGCTTAAAGCGGGAGACCCGGCGCGGCTGAAGGTGCTCATATACGCCACCGTGCAACGCATCCTGCTGGATGTGTCTAGCGGTACGTTGGTGTGCATGGTGCACGGTGCCTGGGTGTGTGGAGCATGGTGTATGGTGCATGTTGCAAAGAGCGAATCGATGTGAGGCGTGAAACTTGGCCCGGCTGACGGTGTCCAGCTGACGGTGTCCAGCTGACGGTGTCCAGCTGACGGTGTCCAGCTGACGGCGAATCGACGGAACGTTGCGGCACATTCTGCTTGCTGCATCCCACCACCCACCCCCGATGAGATTTATTGGATTCGAAACGCCTCCAGTGAAGCGCCTTGCCAGCTACTGATTCTAGCTGGCACATTCTGCTTGCTGCATCCCACCACCCACCCCCTCCCTTCCCCTTCCCTTCTGCTCCTGCTCCCATCCCCTCCCTTCCCCCTCCCTTCCTCCTGCCATTCTCCTCCCATCTCCCTCGTCCCATCCACTCCCCTCCTCTTCCCCTCATCCCCATCCTCCCAGGCGTTTAAGGGCACCAGGCGCTGTGTTCACAGGTAACACCAACCGCAGCCACATTGCCAGGCTGAACCCTTTCCTGCTCTTCCTGCTTCTCCCATTCCCCCGCGCCCTCCCTTAACTCCCCCCCCTCCAGGCGCCCCAAGGGCAGCAGGCGCTGTGTTCACAGGTAACACCAACCGCAGCCACATTGCGCGGCCCTGGAGGGGAAGTCCTGCTGGCACGGGTGGCGCAGGGGTCACCACAGCCATCGTCCCTTCCCACTTGCTCAACCCCCCTCACCTCCCTTCCCACTTGCTCAACCCCCCTCACCTCCCTTCCCACTTGCTCAACCCCCCTCACCTCCCTTCCCACTTGCTCAACCACCCTCACCTCCCTTCCCTGACAGGCACCCCACGAGCAGCAGGGAGTGGTGTTCACAGACAGACAGCACCAACCGCCGCCACATCCCCCGGCTGAACCCGGGAGGGGAAGTGCTGCTAGCAGCAGGCGCACTGACTTTTGAGTCGACTCAAAAGTCAGCCCGGCTGAACCCGCGAGGGGAAGTGCTGCTAGCGGCAGGCACACTGGGGTCGCCACAGCTGCTGCTGCTGAGCGGGCTGGGGCCAACGGAGAAGCTGGAGGCTGAAGGGAATCGTATAAGACAAATCATTCACGTTTTTGAGTCGACTCAAAAGGGAATCGTATAAGACAAATCATTCACGCTTTTCACCCCGCCGGCCCTTGCCCTGCCCCCCTTCCTCTCCCCCACCCCCACAGGCACCCCAAGGGCAGCAGGCGTGGTGTTCACAGACAGCACCAACCGCTGCCACATCCCCCGGCTAAACCCCTTCCCTGCTCCTCCTGCTCCAATGGTTCCCCTGCTCCCACCCGTCCACCGCCCCTTCCACTCCCCAGGCACGCCACGAGCAGCAGGCGTGGTGTTCACAGACAGCACCAACCGCCGCCACATCGCGCGTCTAAACCCAGGAGGCGAAGTGCTGCTAGCAGCGGGCGCACTGGGGTCGCCGCAGCTGCTGCTGCTGAGCGGGCTGGGGCCCAGAGAGAAGCTGGATCCGCTGGGGGTGCCGGTGGTGGCGGAGGTGCCAGGGGTGGGCGTGAACGTGACTGACGTTCCCATCAATGGCATCAACGTGCTGTCCCCCAGACCCGTTGAGGAGTCGTCGCTGCAGGTGAGTGAGGGAGTGGCTGTTGCTGCTGAGAGGGCTGGATTCCCTGGGGGTGCCGGTGGTGGTGGAGGTGCCAGGCATGGGTGTGACGTGACTGATGTTCCGATCAATGGCATCAACGTGCTGTCCCCCAGACCCGTTGAGGAGTCGTCACTGCAGGAAGGGTGACTAGGGGAGAGCATAGGCATGGGCATGGCATGGGCATGGCATGGGCATGGCATGGGCATGGCATGGGCATGGCATGGGCATGGCATGGGTATGGGCAAGGGAAGGGGGGTGCTACTGCTGAGAAAGCTGGATCCCGCACTCCTCTTCTGCCCTCATCCTTGTGTTCGTCGCCCCTTGTGTCCGTGCTCTCTCCCCCCTGTCCTCCTCGTCTCCTATATTCTTGTCCCTCTCTGGTCCTTCCCTCCATCCATTCGTGGCTGTAACACCAGAGGGCAGCATTATTGATGGTGCATCAGGGTCAAATCAAACCACACTCTGAGCTGGCTGGGAGCAGGCGAGCTCAACACAGCCCCGCCTATTTTCTCTTGCACTCCCATTCTCCTGCCCTCCTAACCTCTCTCCCTCTCCATCAGTTCGTGGCTGTGACACCGGAAGGAAACATCATCGAAGGCGCGTCAGGGTCGAACCACACTCTGAGCTGGCCGGGAGCGGGCGAGCTCAACACAGCCCCACCCATCAATCGCACGGGGGAGACGGAGGCGATGATTGAAGCCATGCTGCCATACATCCCCGGGTTTATTCAAGACGCTCTGAATCAAGCCGGGTTTATCTTACACAAGGTAGGGGAACAGTGGTGATGGTGGCGCAGTGAGAAGTGCAGTGTGGTGCAGTGCGGTATGGTCACGCGGCTCAACACAGCCCCCCCCATCAACCGCACGGGCGAGACTGAGGCGATGATTGAAGCCGTGTTGCCTGTCATCCCGGGTGTTATTCGCGACTCTCTCAACCAAGCCGGCTTTATTCTCTACAAGGTAGGGGAGCGGTCATGGTAAGGTGGTGTGCGGTGTGGTGTGGTGCAGTGCGGTATGGTCATGTGGCTCAACACAGCCCCCCCCATCAAGCGCGCGGGAAGATGGAGGCGATGATTGAAGCCGTGCTGCCATTCATTCTTGGCGTTATTCGTGAGGGAGCGGTGCAGTGTGCGGTGTGCTGTGTCGTGTGGTGTGTTGCGGTGTGTTATGTGTCAGGAGGGAACTCCCTAGTTTTTGAGGCGCCTCAAAAGGTGGTTTTTGAGGCGCCTCAAATGGTGGTTTTTGAGGCGCCTCCAAGACCACGTTATGTGTCAGGAGGGAACTCCCTAAAAGACGAAACAGAACGGAACAGCGCGACCTTCTTTCCCCCTCGCCTCGCCCCTCTACCCCATCGCTCTCTCCCTCTCCGCCCACACTCCTCCCCCTCAACCCCACCTGTCACAGGTCTACCTGCCGGCCTCTCATGCTCACCCACTCTTAAAGCCCCGCTCACCCTCTCTAATGGTCCTTGTATTGATAAACCAGGAAGGTACAGACTTGCATGTAACACAACTATCGGAGTTTCCAGCAAACCTCTCTCTCTCTCTCTCTCTCTCTCTCTCTCTCTCTCTCTCTCTCTCTCTCTCTCTCTCTCTCTCTCTCTCTCTCTCTCTCTCTCTCTCTCTCTCTCTCTCTCTCTCTCTCTCCATCGCCTCTCTCTCACCACCCCTCTCTCCCCTCCCCCTCTCCCCTCTCTGCCACAGGTCTACCTGCCGGCCTCTCGTGGATCCCTCACGCTCGCATCCCTCAATGCCTCGGACAACCCCATCGTGCGCTACAACTACTTCTCCGCCCCCCAGGTACGGTGCCACACGTGTAAGGTGCTTCAAGCTTACAGTGCTACAGGTGCACCTCTCACCTCTCACCTCTCACCTCTCAATGCCTCAGACAACCCCATCGTGCGCTACAACTACTTCTCCGCCCCCCAGGTATGCTGCTACATGCTTTAGGTTCACAGGGGCACCGGTAGTGCTGCAGGTGCTCCTCTCACTTGCCTCCTTGCGTCCCTCAATGCCTCAGACAACCCCATCATGCGCTACAACTACTTCTCCGTCCCCCAGGTATGGTGCTCTTCGCACATTGGGTTTCAGGCTTACAGTGTGTTTTGTGCACTCCAGCTGTGCATTTCACCTCCCTCACCCTTGCATAACTGAACGCCTCAGACAACCCCATCGTGCGCTACAACTACTTCTCCGCCCTCCAGGTATGGTGCTATAAGATTCTATTCATTACACCTCTCAATGCCTTCGCGCCCCTCAATGCCTCAGACAACCCCATTGTGCGCTACATCTACTTCTCTGCTCCCCAGGTATGGCACTGGAAGTGAATAATGCTACACGGGTTTAGTGCTTCAAGATTACGGTGCTGAGCATTCGCCTCTCACCTCGCTCACTAAGACGGTCGCCTCCACTGCCTGCTGCGTTTTACCTCTCTTCCCCACCCCACCCCCATGTCTTTCCTCTCTCTCCACCGGTTTCTCCTCACAGAACGAGTGTGAGGATCACGCAGCTGCTCACAGAACAAGTGTGAGGATCACGCAGCTGCTCACAGAACAAGTGTGCGGATCACGCAGCTGCTCACAGAACAAGTGTGCGGATCACGCAGCTGCTCACAGAACAAGTGTGCGGATCACGCAGCTGCTCACCGAGAATGCCCAGCTGTGTCTCTCCCCCCCACCCCACTCCCATCTCACTCCTTCTCACTCCTCTCTCACTCCTCCCTCATCCTCATCTCTCTCACAGGACGTGGCCACGTGTGTGAGGGGAGCGCAGATACTCACCAAGATAGTCACCTCCAATGCCATGGCGCCTTTTCGCTATGACACCCCTCCTGTCGCTCTCTTGTAAGCCTACCTCACCGTCCTCCAACCCCCCAACCCCCTCTCCGCCTCACCGCCCTCTCCGCCCTCAACCCCTCTCTCTGAAATCCTGAAATCGCCACCCATCCCGTTGTTACCATCACATAAATGACTCTGCTCCTCTGTCATCCCTGTCTGTTTCTACCCTCTTCCCTCCCCCCCACATGCCTTCCTTTCTCTCTCTGCCTTACCTGATGAGACTTTTCTGGTTGCCTTATCTCCCCCTTTTTTTTTTTCAATACACCCTTGCACCTCCCTTCCCTGCAGTCTCCTTGACCCAAGTGCAGCACTCATCACTCCAGGAAACTTCCGTGGGGCTTCCCCTGCACTCCCAGACGTCTCCAACTTCACTGCGTCTGCCCAGTGGTGCAAGGTGGGCTCTCTTCCTTTAGTCGATTGTTTCTTGGGTGCATTCCTTAATCCTTTCCAGATTGTCTCAACAACCCTCTCCCCACAACCCTCTCCCCACAACCCTCTCCCCACAACCCTCTCCCCACAACCCTCTCCCCACAACCCTCTCCCCACAACCCTCTCCCCACAACCCTCTCCCCACAACCCTCTCCCCACAACCCTCTCCCCACAACCCTCTCCCCACAACCCTCTCCCTCCCCGCCACCCCACCCCCATCTCCCCGCATAAGGACACGGTGACGGTCATCTGGCATTTCCACGGGGGCTGTCACAGGGGCGTGTGTGTGGACAGCAGCTACCAAGTTTACGGGGCGTTACATGAAATTGAGACATCAGCAGGTTGATTCGCATCTAATGTTCCCCTCCCACCTCCCCCATTTCTCTCCCCCACAGGACACGGTGACGGTCATCTGGCATTTCCACGGGGGCTGTCACAGGGGCGTGTGTGTGGACAGCAGCTATCGGGTGAACGGGGTGCAAGCACTGAGGGTGGTGGACGGATCTACCTTTCTCACCTCCCCGGGCACCAACCCCATGGCTACATGCCTCATGCTCGGAAGGTACGCGCACAATTGAGTCACTGGGAGGTGAGAGCATGATGGCGTGAAAATGGATGGCGGAAGTGGAGAGATGGCTTTTGAGCTGACCCAAGAGATGGGAGTTTTGAAAAGATGTTTGAATATGCACAGGTGTACATCCCTGCTTCCATCCCATGTTCATTTCTTCTTTGCTTCCTGTTTTCTCCTTTTGCTTCCTCAATCCTGCAGGTTTATTGGCCTGAACCTCCTCGAAGAAAGGGGCTTCAACATTTCAGCAGCATAAAAGGATATTTTTAAGGGTTTACAGTTCAGGAATGTACCGACCAATGCTTTATATCGGGTTGCACCTGGCTACATTATACTTCTATGGAATTATTAGCAAAGAAGCATGAACCTGTACAGATGTGTATATCATAACTGAAACGCAAGATAGACGGCAAAAATCATAAGCATCAGAAAATTATTAACACAGAGCTGTCATTCATAAACAAGTCTAGACCTGTACTGTACCCCATAAGCTGCTTGAGCAGCTTTGTAGTTGAATTGCAATACCCTGTGAAAGAATCAACTTTGTTCCCTTCCCATCCCATCCCACACCAACATTCTATTTCACCTGACTGCCCCAACCCATCTACCCGCATTTGGCATGCCGCGAGCACATTCTATTCCCTGCCCGAACACTCGCCTCCGCATTCTCTGAGTTATCAATCTGCTCCCCGCAAACCGCACAGAAATTCCCCGCCGAGTGTACCGAGCTGTTCTGATACCGCTCAAAGAGGTCGCCGCCTCTTATCGAGTCGTGGTCGTTCATTATAAAGGGGACGTGCTGGTCCCACGGGTTGCGGGGGGCGGCGCTTGGGGTTGGGGTTGTGGGTGGCAGGGAGCTAGAGCCCTTAGCGGACTTCGAGAGATAGCTGGAATAGCTCTTGCTCTGATTGGATAGGAGGGAGACAAGCAGGGAAAAAAGGTGGTGGGGGGGGGGTGGGTGAGAAGGGGGGGGAAGGGATTTGGACAAGAGGGAGAGAGTCCTTGGCGGACTTGGAGAGATAGCTGGAATAGCTCTTGCTCTGGTGGGACAGTGGACAAACGGGAGACAGTGGCAAGGATAGGGGGAAAGGAGTCAACACAATGATTGAGGTTGTGGGTGGCAGGGAGGTTGAGTCCTTGGAAGACTTGGGGAGATAGCTGGAATAGCTCTTGCTCTGGTGGGACAGAAAGAGAAAGGGAGAATGGAGGAGGGGAGGGGAAGGGAAGGGGGGGAGTGAGAAGGAGGTGGGGGGGGGGGGGGGGGGGGGGGGGGGGGTGTCGAGTTTATTGAAAAGTTGGGGTGGTAGGTGGTAGAGAGCTTAGTTTCTTGGAGGACTTGGAGAGATAGCTGGCGTAGCTCCTGCGCTGATTGGACAGAAGGGAGAAAAGTGGGGAAACAAACGTGGGGGAGGGGTGGGTGAAGAAGGGGGGGGGGGGGGGGCAAAGGGGGGGGTTCGAGAGGGGGAGGGAGGAATGGGGTTAGAGGGAATGGAAGGACAGGGAAAGGGATTGGGGGAGGGGTAGGCGGGGAGGGAGGGGGTTTCAAGCCAGTTGGAAAATTGGGGTTGTGGTAGCAGGCAGGGAGGTCGACTCCTTGGAGGAGTTGGAAAGACAGCTGGAATTATAAGTTGGGAAGATAGCTGGAGCTATGCTTGCTCTGGTAGGACAGGAGGGAGAGAAGTGGGGGAAAAGGGGGGAGCAGGGGCGGGGGGGGTGGGGGGTTGGAGAGGGGGTGGGGGAACGGGATTAGAGGGAATGAGGAAAGGGGAAAGGGATTGGGAGGGGAAGGGTAGTCGGGTGGGGAGGGAGCTTGGCCCATCTGGGACGCTCACCAGCCCTTGCAAAGAAGGACCTCTGGAGCCAGATGTGGGACTTGCAGGGTTCTTTTTAGAATTCTAACAATTACCCTGCAGCTGGGGGGTTGGAGAAACCGTTTTCTAGCAGAGCTCCGTGAATCAGACTGAAGTCAACGCATGCGAAACAAGCAGTCCCTGACAAATAAGCAAGCACTCATTCACAGAGAAGCAAGCACTCATTGACAGATAAGCAAGCACTCATTGACAGATAAGCAAGAACTCATTGACAGATAAGCAAGCACTCATTGACAGATAAGCAAGCACTCATAGACAGATAAGCAAGAACTCATTGACAGATAAGCAAGCACTCATTCACAGATAAGCAAGCACTCATTAACAGATAAGCAAGCACTCATTAACAGATAAGCAAGCACTCTTCACAGATAAACAAGTAACTGTCATATGGGCACCAACCAACTGAAAAAAAAAAAAAAAAAAAAAAAGTAAATGCACAACAAGGGCACTTCCAGCCGTACGAATTTCGAACTTGAAGCAAAGAAGGGCTTGGAGGTGGGGGGCTTAGATGCACCACCTACAGAGCACCGGCTGACCTAACCATGTTGATGTCAAGTGAAGCCTACGTGCGCTTTCAGCAACAAATTAAGTTAGCTGGAAGCAGTGAGCGCGATGGAACGGAACGTACCCTGAACTTGGAGAAGAAGGATTTGGAGCTGGGGGCCTTGGGCACGGGGCAGGCGGAGGGGTCAGCGGCAGCAGAGGCGGCGAGCAGGTCGATCACTAGCACTGTTATGTCATCCCGTAGGCCCTTGGCCTTTATGGACTCCTGTGAAGGGGGGGAGGGTGAGACAAGGTAGAGATAGTTCAAGCAGTGAGGCCAGTGAAGTAGCAGAGGCGGAGAGCAGGTCGACCACTAGCACTGTAATGTCGTCCCTTAGACCCTTGGCCTTTATGGACTCCTGTGAAGAGGGGGAGGGAGGTGGAAGGGAGGGAGGGGAGAACGGGGGGTGAAGACTCAAAACACGACTCAAAGCACGACTCAAAGCACGACTCAAATCACGACTCAAAACACGTATCAAAGCACGACTCAAAACACGACTCAAAGCACGACTCGAAGCACGACTCGAAGCACGACTCGAAGCACGACTCGAAGCACGACTTGAAGCACGACTCGAAGCACGACTCGAAGCATGACTCAAAGCACGACTCAAAGCACGACTCATTTCACGCGGTGCACAGCATGGCAGCCCTCCCTCTGCAGCGCCCGGCGGCCTTGTCTGATTCCACCGCATCTTAAGCGAGCAGCACCGCACAGCACCGAGCACCAAACACACCAAGAAGCACCACACAGCACCGCACTGCACCTCACCTTGACGAGCAGTGGGGCAGCAGCGGTGCAGGGCAGCCCTCTGCATCGCCTGGCGGCCTTGTCTGAGTCCACTGCGTCCCAAGAGAGGAACACTGAACGGCACCAAGCACCAAACAGCACCCAGCAGCACCTCATAACATGGCACAGTACCGCACTGAACCTCACCTTGACAAGCAGTGGGGCAGCAGCGGTGCAGGGCAGCCCTCTGCATCGCCTGGCGGCCTTGTCTGAGTCCACTGCGTCCCACAGCCCATCAGACGCCATCACCACCCTGCCTCCCGCCTGGGGGACCTGAAGAGAGGAGGAAGGAAGGCACACGTGAAAAAATGGGTGCGGTGAGGGGCAGAGAGGGGAAGAGAGGGTCACAGCGCACACGCACAGTTGTCTGAGTCCACTGCGTCCCACAGCCCATCAGACGCCATCACCACCCTGCCTCCCGCCTGGGGGACCTGAAGAGAGGAGGAAGGCACACGTGAAAAAATGGGTGCGGTGAGGGGCAGAGAGGGTCACAGCGCACACGCACAGTTGTCTGAGTCCACTGCATCCCACAGCCCATCAGACGCCATCACCACCCTGCCTCCCGCCTGGGGGACCTGAAGATAGGAGGGGGAGGCGTGCGGAGGGCACAGAGGGGCAGAGAGGCAGAGAGGCAGAGAGGGGCGCACATGCGCTCTTGTCTGAGTCGACATCTTAAAGCCCATCCGACGCCATCACCACCCTTCCACCCGCCTGTGGGACCTGGAGAGAGGGAGAGGGGCACAGAGTGGCACAGAGGGGCAGGGCACAGAGGGGCACAGAAAGGGACAGAGGGGCACAGAAAGGGACAGAGGGGCACAGAGGGGCACAGAGGGGCACAGAAAGGGGCAGAGGGGCAAGAGAGGAGCGCACATGAACTTATGCCTGAGTCCACTGCGTCCCACGGCCCATCCAATGCCATCACCACCCTTCCACCCGCTTGGGGGACCTGAAGAGAACGAGGGAGATACAGATGGGCGCAGAGGGGTACAGAGGAGCGCACATGTACTTATGCCTGAGTCCACTGCGTCCCACGGCCCATCCAATGCCATCACCATCCTGCCTAACTCCTGGTGGACCCACTCCCTCCCTTCTTCCCAACCACAACCCATGCATGAACACATAATGTTTTAACATCCTTCCCCTCCCCTCCACACCCCTTTTCCCACCTGAATCTGCTTGACATGTGGCAGCGGCGTAATGAACGTGCCACAGTCCACATCGCCTCCCACACGCGAACACAATGTGTATAGACATCCCTCCACACACCTCTCTCACCCAACCATCCCTCCACACCCCTCCACACCCCTCTCTCACCCACCTGAATCTGCTTGACATGCGGCAGCGGCGTGATGAACGTTCCACAGTCCACATCGCCTATCGACCGCGACACACACAGCCCTCCCGGCCAGCTTCGTAGTGGGCCCAGCTGGAGAGGTCAGGAGGGAATGAGGAGGGGTGGAGAGGACCGAGGCGGAGGGGAAGGGGTGGAGGGGAAGAACGAGAAGGGATGTCTTTTGAGTCGACTCTAACCTGCCACAGTATGAAGATTTGTTTTGAGACGTCTCAAAACGAGTCGACTCTAGCCTGCCACAGACCCACAGTCCACATCGCCTATCGACCGCAACACACTCAGCCCTCCCGGCCAGCTGTGGAGAGGACCCAGCTGTGGATGAGGGTAGGCAAAAGGGGATGGGGGAGACGGGGATGACAGAGGGGAAGGAGGGAAAACGATCATACCGTAAGCGCCCAGATAGGAGATGTCGAATTTAAAGACGTTGTTTTCTATTGGGGTATAATATTATACAGAGGAGACCCTTTTACAAGAAACCGTTTACCAGTAAAAGATAATATTCCTGTCTTATAATCGAAACCGCAATGTATTATAGTGATACAGCGTACGTTTCTATCTGTGCGAAACGCGAATTCGTCCACGACCTGACTCATAAACTCCAAAATCGACCTCAAAACAGCAGGCATTCTTCCTGATGTGGCGTCCCAACACTGGTTGCCGACGTCTGAAGCGTTGGGACATCCGCACTCGTTATAAAACACACACTTGTAGATATGTACGCAATAACATGAGAAATATTCAAAGTATTTACGAGGTTTCCATATATAAGGTTGATAAGACACCTGTAACCTTCCATTACAAGATACCGATATAAGACAAGAAAAATTTCCATACATATGTCTACCATCCGGGCAATGACGGTAGTACTGTCTTGAAATCTTTTCCCATCTCATGTGCCATTGTTTGTAACATTAGTACTTTGATTACAACAGCAAACTTTATCCTTGAAATTACACGTATAAGGTCACACGCACAAATGACAACACGTCTGGTATTACATCTACCTACCTGAAAACACACCTGAGCACCCTCACAACACACCTGCGTGCCATCGAAGGTCCGAAGCCTGGCGAGTTGGCCACCCTCTTTGAGCACTCTGTTGCACCTGGTCAGGTGGTTTCAGCAGACAGGGCAGCGAGACAGGGCAGCACGAGCAGCACAGGTCAGAAGCGCCCTGTTGAGTCCCCCGAAGCTACCTCAAGGTTAGTATGACCCGCCAATCTTCCAAGAATACCTCACTAGCCCTTTTCCTCCCCCACTCTCCCCCCCCCCCCCCCCCCCACACCCCCTCCTCTCTTCTTCCTCCCCCATTCACTCGTCCTCTGACACTTCGAATCGGTGGACCAGCAAGAGAGGAGCGCGAGTCCCCCACTGCTACCTTTTAGTTAGGGCGAATCAAGAGTTCCCTTTCCCCCCTCCCCATTCTTCCCCCACTCACTCGTCCTCAGACACCTCAAAGCGGTGGTCCAAAGAAAGAGGCGTCACGCCCCCTCCAGTGGTGTCTAGAATGGCCCGCGAGTCCCCCACTGCTGCCACTGTCACCGTCCATCCCAAGACAATCGCCACCGTTGCTGTCGCCCCTGACGGCTGGCCGCCTGGTGTTGGAAAATGGTGGGAGGCGGGGTGCGGGAGAAAGAGGGTGGTAAGGATGGGGGCTAAGGAGGAGACGTAAATTCTAGAATCGCCCACTCATTGCTGCCACTGTCGCCGTCCATCCAGACACTATCGCCACCGTTGCTGTCGCTCCTGCCGGCTGCCCCCCTGGTGTTAAGACAGAGGGAGGCAGGACGGGAAATACGAGGGTGGGACGATGGGGACGGAGGGGCGTGTCTGTAAAGCACGTAAATTCTCCACTGCTGCCACTGTCGCTGTGCATCCCGACACGATCACCACTGTTGTTGTTGCTCCTGACGGCTGACCGCCTGGTAATGAAATGTGGGGATGGGAAAGAAGAGGAAGGAGGGGAGAGGCGATGGGAGAGGCAAGGAGAGGGGAGAGGAGAGGGAATAGGCGGGTGTGAGTGGTGGGGGGAGGGGCGTGTGTAATGCCAGCGAGTCCCCCACTGCTGCCACTGTCACCGTCCATCCCAACACTATCGCCACCATTGCTGTCGCCCCTGACGGCTGGCCCCCTGCTGTTACAATAGCGGGAAGCGGGCGGGGATTACGGTTTACACGGGTGGTTGGGGGCAAAGGAGGATGCAGAAATCCCACGGGTCCCCCACTGCTGCCACTGTCACCGTCCATCCCGACACGATCGCCAGCGTTGCTGTCGCTCCTGACGGCTGGCCCCCTGGTGTTGGGATGCCAAAGGGGGGGAGGCTGTTGGGTCACTAGGAGATTGGGCGACGGAATATAAGAGGGTGGGAGATGGAGCGGGGGAGGCAAGGCGAGAAATTGAGAAGTTGAGGCGAGGAGAGGGTGGGAGGGTGGGAGGGTGGGAGGGTGGGAGGGTGGGAGGGTGGGGGCACTCACATGCTCGCACGGACGCATGCATGCGCGGGCAGCACTCACGCAGGGCAAACGTGTTGTGGCATTTGAGAAATCCTTCGGCCAGCGCCATCGTTTTGAGACGTCTCAAAACAACACTCACGCAGGGCAAACGTGTTGTGGCATTTGAGAAATCCTTCGGCCAGCGCCATCGGTAGTGCCTTCAACCACGCATCCCTCCCTCCCCCGCCTCCGCCGCCACTTTCCAGCACAGCCGCGCCTTCCCCGTCGCGCAGTTGACTCGTGACCTCGGCCTCCTCGCCCTTCTCCCCCGCGTCCTCTCGGTACGACGCCCCCCCCGGCAGGTACTCGCTCACGAACTCCAGCAGCTCCTTCTTGCAGTGCATGGCGGCGGCTGTGCCGTTGTGCCCGTCGAACACCTAAGGGGGTGGGGAGAGGAAGGAGCCGAAGGTGGGGGGAGAGGTGGGGGGAAGGGCGTGCGGAGGAGGTGAGCGGAATAGGGGGAATGAGCGGAGGGTACTCGCTCACAAACCCCAGCAGCTCCTTCTTGCAGTGCATGGCGGCGGCTGTGCCGTTTTGCCCGTCGAATACCTGAAGGGAGGAGCGGCAGGAGGGGTCGAGTCGAGCAAGGGAAGCAGGGGAAGGAGGTGGGGGAGAATGAGGGGAATGAGTGAAGTGAAGGGTACTCGCTCACGAACCCCAGCAGCTCCTTCTTGCAGTGCATGGCCGCCGCCGTGCCGTTGTGCCCGTCGAACATCTGAGGGGGGTGAGGTGAGGGGGAAGGATGGGAGGGGTAGAGATGGGGAGGGAGGAGGGATGGCGGGCGGGGGAAGAGAATGGGGGGGATGAGTGGAGGGTACTCGCTCACGAACCCCAGCACCTCCTTCTTGCGATGCATGGCTGGCTGCTGCAGTGCCGCTGTGCCCGTCGAACACCTGAGAGGCGTGCATGGGAAAAACGGGACGTGGGGGAGGGGGCGGGGTGAGGGGGGTTGAAGGAAGAAGGGGAAGTTGGGGCTGCAACGAATACGCCGACAAGAGCGGCGGGAACTGGACCTGGCGAGCGCAGTTGACGCAGCAGTCGACGCCGCCGTTGACTCCTCTACGGCGAACCTCGCAATGAACACACACCGACAGACACACCAACAAGCACAACCGGAACTCGACTTTCGACTTACGCAGTAGACGCCGCAGTTGACGCCGCCTAACCGATAGTTAGCGAGTGCCATGTGAAAGTCCTCGCCTTTCTTTACTTGCTCCGCCACCGTAAACCGAACCACCGGATCCGCCGCCGCCGCATCCGCCGCCAAATGCGAAGGCAGCTCCGTGGGAGCGTTCACCGGCCAGCCCTCGGGAATGCCGCCGGTGATCGGGGTGGAAACGGCATCCTCGGTATAAGAAGAGCCTTCGCTTAACGCGGAAGTTGAGGCGGATTTGACGGTGACTCCTAGCGACGCGACGGCGGACATGGATGCGACTTGTGCGGTCATGGATGGGAGAGGGCCTTAACGATGCAAGCCGTCCTAAAAGATTCGGTCCGATATAACACGCCGATAGGGATACGATCCGATACGATATGATGCAGTTATCAGGCTTCCTACGGCTGGTAACGACGCTGATCGGACAGACTTCTGACTAGGTAGTCAATACTCAAAGAGAGGGACGGCGTCGCGAAGAGTGATTTCACTGAACGTTAGGTTTTGGTTCCTAGATTTGACTAACAATGATGGAAGCGGTGGGAGGCAGGAATGCAAGGATGCGCCATGTCTTGTCTTTGCAGTCATTCCTGGTGGTCACGTGCTCGATTCTCCATGCTGCCTTAGCATGCTCGATGCGCTTAGTAAAGCCCGCTGACGTCAGCATCTAATTAAGGACATCTGCCGCTTCCACCGTAGGATCTCAGACGAATGAGAAATTCGCGGATTGGCTTGACGTTCCAGTCAAAAGGCAGACACTTCAGAGTATTGGCTGGGTTCGTGGGTTCGAAAAGCTTATCGCGAGATAATTCGCGAGGATGAATAATGTCAGAGAAAACGTGTTCTGGACGTGACCAGCTAAATAAACGCGATGTGGTAAATAATGAATACCACCTTCCCTCGCCGACCTGCTACTCGCCGAGGGAATGTACCTCCTGCTTGGCTGTTCACACGACCAACGAAAGAGGGTGACGAGACAACGACAGCTGATTTTCTAGCCGGACTAAGCCCAGATACAGTGTTGGTCCGAAGGATTTGGTCTGGTTTTGGCTCGGCCCAGCTTGCCTTGCTGATCGACGTCTTGCTGCTGTCGCTCTAGCCCTCGCCGCGTTGCAAATGGCTAAGGTTGCCACACGCACAAGATAAGGGGGAAGGCCGCGGCGAGCGAATAGGCGAGAGCAAGAAAGCACGAAGTTTTACAGCTCAGCTGGAGTTGGAGCAATGGCAGCTATGCAAGTAGTGTTCGGGAGGGACGACCTGGGACATGGGATTAGGGGTCCTCGAGCTTTGCTGCTTGTGCTTTGGAGCTGGTTATAGAGTGGTCAGTATAGATCTGATTACGGTGCGGTGGGATATTGACGGTGGAAGAAGCTGGGCCCGAATTGCACGGTTTTGTGTGTGGCACAAGCAGGGAGGAGCACTAAATCAAATTAGCAATAAGTGACCGTAAATTTTTGGGAAGGAGGATGCTTTGCCCACTAATTTCAACGAGATGTACATCGTCGCCATCCTGAGCTTATGAAACATTACCAAGCATAGGATACCCGTAGGGTTCTAGGCAGCATTTGTTTTTCCAACGCATCTCTAAACGTCGAGCTATGACTATCCTCCCCGTAGCCAGGATATTATGGGAGAACTTCCGAAGACGCCTCGATCACTTCGCGTAAAAGGAGGAGGTTCGGCCTGGCACACCAACCAAAGGGAAAAGGAGGCGCAGCGAACGTCAGATCGGGAGCACGACCCACCGATACGATCCACGTGGACAATCCACGGGTGGTTGTGGAATCTGGGAGGCTGCAATTGACACGGGTGACGTCCAACACATGTCAAAGATGGGGCCAGGAGGACCTGGTTACATCACATGATCCCATGTGGTCGTGGAACTGACGGCGGTTGGCCGCTTTGCCGTGCTGTCCCACAGCCTGAGGAAGGCGGAATGCGGCGATTGCGAAAAGTTCTGATAGCAGTTTGGTACAGGCGCGGTATGATTGGAAGGTTTGTGAAACATTTTAACCAATAGTGGGCCTAGGTGGTCAGTTCTTTACGGTTCGGCCAATCGAGCCTGGCTCTTGAAGCCGCGGGAAGCCAAGTGAGGCCCGTGTCAGACTGCCATAAGTTTTTCTTCGTCGACTCGATTCAATCACAAGGTGGAAACCAGGGCTGTCGATTCAAGGGCATTTGCCCTTAATGCCCTGAACATTCCGGGTTATGTTTGGCGCAGATCGACCATTTTAAGGGTTTGATTTGACTGGCACCCGTGCCAGTTAAGGGCATCGTTTAGCCCTTCCCCGGACGCGTTAAGTGCTCAATCTGGGCCGTCCCCTGAATCTAAGATATACTTTCGGTTCCGCAGAACCGCCCCCCCCCCCAAAATCTTGCGGAACACCCCCCTCCCCTAACCACCCCCCCCCCCCCTTTCCATAAAAGTTGCACAATAGAGCGCTAGGTGGAGGATGTTTCACTCGATTTCTATCCAATCTAGTGTGTGTCTACTGTCTAAGTCAGCAGATGAGTAGAAATGCAGTCAGTGCAGCTGTAGTTGTAGTTGGAAGTTGTGACATACAGCAGGGCTCAGGTTTGCAGTGTAATTTACCCTTCTATACTGATTACAAGGGTGAATTTTTGGGTCTACACTGATGTGCTGGGGTAATTTTTTGGTGAGTTAGTGTTACACTGATCTGTAAGTGTAATGATTTAGGCCACACTGATGCTCTGGGGTAATTTTTCCCTTAGCGAAGATTACCCTGAAGAGCGTACAGGGACTCCCCCCCCCCCCCCCCCCCCCCCCCCCCCCCCCCCCCCCCCCCCCCCCCCCCCCCCCCCCCCCCCCCCCCCCCCCCCCCCTCGGAAACTCTACTTATTGAGAAGAGGTTTCCTAGAGCTTTCGTAGCGATACACCCAATTTCGTAATGATGCACTACGACACCAGCACACGTGAGTACTGACAACCGACACCGTGTCACTCCGTGTCTGCTTGCAACCTACCCGTTACTGTAGAGGCGATGCAACCTGATTGGTCGAAGCTGCACTCTCTGCAAGAACGTCAACTTTCTTGGAGGAGATGACGGACCGCCGTGTTTGCGCGTTTTCGATTCCTTTCGGCAGTGGCTTTGACAGCGACCTCCACCGCGCTCGCGCCCAATTCCCGCAGTCAGTTTATATTGCTGTTTCCCGTTTTTCATGACCAAACGTGTAGAAGGGAAAATATTAAGATTACCTGGGTTCAGTATAGAGGCCAGTGGAAAAACTAAAACCCACTCGGATGACAAGCCATTTGGGAGGCATCAACCCTAAACACCTTGCCTCATGGTGTTAAGGGTTGATGCTCTCTTCGTGGCATACCATCCATGAGGGCTATATTTTTTTTTGTCCCGAGCTGAGCCTTTGCCATGGACTCGACGAAGACATTTTTAATACCCCGTAACCTAAAAACAGCTTGTATTTGTGGACTTAGGGGGGGAAACTGAGAAAGAATATGCCCCAAGGTATTGGACGCGAGCGCAGAGCAATGCGCTGTCAAAACCACTGCCCATTGGAATTCGAAATTTGAAAACACGGCGCTCTGTCATTTCCTCACTTTCTTGACTCGGAAATTTGGGACTCGAGGTTTCCGAACACACTCGAAATTTGCTGACTTGGCGAAAAATACAAGTGTTGCAGCGAAACCAGACAAGCCACTGCGCTCGACTTTTGAGTTCACATCACAACTCCCACCCACCAGCGCCCAACTTACGATAGTAATCGTGCGCGATTTGGGCCTCGAGCTTGATTGCAGCCAGCACATATTGAGCAGCCTAAAGTACAATCAGGGTAAAAAATATACCTACACTGATGCCTCTGGGTAAAGTTTTCAAAACTTCAAGTTACACTGATCCATCAGTGTTTCCAAAAAGGGCACACTGCTCAGAAGGGTTTTGAAAATGTCTACACTGCTAATCGTGAGTAGGCAAAATCCAAACCTAAGCCCTGACATACAGGTTGACTGGAGTAGTTAGCAGTGAAAAGTATGTGATTTTCTTGTCTAAGATGTTGTTTAGGTTAGTTAAGTACACAACACTTTGGAGCCCAGATTTCAAGTTTACACTTCGGCCTGCACCCGTGACCGTTAAGGGCAAAAATTTGGTCACCTCCCTGAAAATCAGGGTCAGAATTTCAGCAGCTGAGGGCCTCAAGTTCTGCCCCCAGGGATATCGACAGCCCTGGTGGAAACACAAGGTACAAACTATTTGAAGCAGCACCATAGCATAGTTGGTAGGATGCCCAGTCACCAACTCATGTTTTAGTAACCTCGAGTTATGCTCCAGTGCAAGTGTCATTTTGTGAGACGTTGGCAGAGTCTAAACCTGTGATTATGTACCCAAGAAGCTACATTTAATATTATTAACCTAGGTACCTTCGCTCCATTTATGATTCCCACTTGCGGAACCAAGGATGCTCTGCACGGATAGTATGGGAGAAATAGGAATAGAGTATGCTTGACTGAGTGAAGGGAGAAGAAGAGGCTGGTACGCACTGAATGATAATAGGCCACAACTATCTATGCAAGGCCAAATACGTACCGAGGGCAGCACGAGCAGTAATCCTCTTCTTCTGGTTGTGCGTCAGCAGCTGGCGAATCAAATCCTTCCCCGCATCTGACACATTTCTCCACACAGCGCCCCGGAACCCCACCTTCCCCTCCCGAATCGCCTTGGTCACATCGGCTTCTGTCTTGGCCCAGAAGGGCGGTATGCCGGCCAGCAGCACGTATAAGACAACGCCTGCCGACCACACATCTGCTGGGAAGCCATAAGAGCCTTCGATCACCTCTGGGGCGACGTAGTAGAGTGAGCCGACAAAATCAGACAGTGGCTTGGAGCCTGGTGGTGTGAATAAGAGGGAGGGAAGGAGGTTGTTTTAGGCACCTCAAATCCATCCCTGGGGCGACGTAGTAAAGCGAGCCGAAAAAATCAGACAACGGCTTGGAGCCTGGTGCAAGGGAGAGGGGGGGAGGAGGCATCGAGCGGGACGGGTTACTGAATCTCCAATGTGTGAGAGTGGGTCAGAGGGTGGTCGAATGGATTTAATGTGTCATCCCATGCAATAAAGCAAACTGGCAATGCCTAAGCAGGGAATAAATTGTAGAAGAATGACTGCTGGATTGGCTCCAAGGAGGGAGAGGAAGAGGTTTGGTGGAGGCGGTAAGGTCAGGCAGGATGCGGTGCAGAAGGGCGAACAGGGAAGCAAAGTGAAGAGCGAACAGGGAAGCAAAGTGAAGAGCGAACAGGGAAGCAAAGTGAAGAGCGAACAGGGAAGCAAAGTGAAGAGCGAACAGGGAAGCAAAGTGAAGAGCGAACAGGGAAGCAAAGTGAAGAGCGAACAGGGAAGCAAAGTGAAGAGCGAACAGGGAAGCAAAGTGAAGAGCGAACAGGGAAGCAAAGTGAAGAGCGAACAGGGAAGCAAAGTGAAGAGCGAACAGGGAAGCAAAGTGACCTCTGAACATATTCAAGGTGACTCAAGGGTCAGGAAACATTGGCAGGATGCAGTGTAGAAGAAGAAATGGAGGAACCCATACCTGGTTTCAGGATAGCAGAGATCCCAAAGGCGATGATGCGCACGTCGGTGTGCGAGGAGGGGTGGGCGAGGAGGCGGGCAGGATGCAACCCAAAAGAACACATGGAGGATGTTGTGCCTGGCTTGAGGATGTTGTGCCTGGCTTGAGGATGTTGTGCCTGGCTTGAGGATGTTGTGCCTGGCTTGAGGATGGCAGAGATCCCGAAGTTGATGATGCGACCGTCGGTGTGGGAGGAGGGACGACCTTTGAGGCGCATCAAAAGCAGGCGAACAAATGGAGGACCCCGTACCTGGTTTCAGGATGGCGGAGATCCCGAAGTCGATGACACGCACGTCGGTGGGGGAGGAGGGGTGGGCGAGGAGGATGTTTTCAGGCTTGATGTCGCGGTGCACCACGTGGTGGCGCTGGTGGCAGCTCTGCAGCACGCCCAGCACCGCGCGCATCACCACCGCCGCCTCCCTCTCGCTGTACCGCCGCCGCTCCTTGATTCGATCGAACAGCTCGCCGCCCGAACAGAGCTCCATTACCAGGTGGACGGCCTTTAGGGTGGAAGGGGGGAAGAGGATGGTGGGGGGAGGGGGGGTGGGTGGGTGGTATTTGACAAGTGCTGACTTGCGTAGTGTTTCTTGCTGTACCGCCGCCGCTGCTTGATGCGATCTAACAGCTCGCCAAACGAGCTGAGTTCCGTCACCAGGTGGACGGCCTTTGAGGGGGGGAAGTTTGTAAGGGAGGGGGAATGTTTTAAGTGCTGAATTGAGTGGCAAATGTGGGAGAGCGGGTGTTGAAGGGAAGATATGGCAGGGTTGTTATTTGGGGCGTGAAGTTGCTGGGATGGGCGCTGATTTGATTTGAATGGCTGATTCAAACCCCAACACCCAATCACTCACTTACTCACACCCCACAAAATCTCACCTGCTCGTTTTCAAAGACATCCCTCAGCTGCACCACCTTGGGGTGCGTTTTAAGCATCTCCATTATAGCCACCTCGCGCCTCACATCGTCCGCATCAGTCTTGCTCTGCTTGCAAAGGAAGAAACAAGGATGACAGGATGGGAACAGTGAGAGATGAGAGAGGCAAGATTGAAAGGATGTGAACTGGGTGAATGATGCGAATCAGGCAGTAAAACGGAAATGGGGCAATTCTGTAAACCAATTCAATTATGTAAAGGGGAGTGGAAAAATGTACTATTGCAAGTAAAAAATTGTGTATTCGGACCTCCTTGCGGTTCAGCCTGCTATTTTCATTATGTCGCGTATAGAATGAGCTTGACAAGCTCGATAGGATGATCTGTGTGACCCTAAACTTTCAATCTCCGAACGGACTGGTGTCGAATTTGTGAATCCACTAACATTCCACCCTCTCCTGCCAACCGTCTCCTGCCCGACGAGACTATGGTTACAGGATTTACGAAATTGAAGACTCAGTCTAGATAGGATTCGCCAGACCTTTTCGCACAGCCTGAACTTCACCACAGCCACAAGATAGTTTCGCTCGAACGTTGGCTAGTTCTGCTTGCGAATGCACTCAAACAAATTCCGTGCTGCGGATTCAGGGACTACTGACGAGAGAGTCCTGAAAATGACTAGCCTGATGGCTGCCGGCGAATAAGTAGCCTGATTAATTGGCGAATATCTAGCCTTACGACTACTGGCGAAAAAACTAGCCTTGTGAATCCTGGCGAAGAATATCTACCCAGATGTTTGCTAGCGATGATGTAGCCTGATGACTGCTGGCGATAAACTAGCCTGATGATCACTGGCGAATCACTAGCCTATTGACTGCTGACGAGTAACCAGCCTGGTGACTGCTGGCGATCGAGTAGACTGTGGGCTGCTGGGTATGACTAGCCTGATGATAGCTGGCGAATAGTTTGCCTGAAATATGCTGCTGCGCATCTAGCCTATGATTGCTGACGAGTAATTAGCCTCCTGACTGCTGACAAATGACTAGCCTGATTACCGCTGGCGAGACACTAAATGTTTACTAACGATTAAATACCCTAAAAGAACTGTCAGGGTACTTGAAAATGACCGAACCTGCGTTGAATGAAGGAACAATGACAGGTTGACTTTGACAGGATGTACATCGACATTGCCTGATGGTTCCTTGACACTAACTAACTGACTACCTGATGATCATTGGCGAGTGACTACTGACGAATAATAACTAGCTAGATGGCTGCTGCCGATTAAGCAGCCTGATAACCGCTGGAGAATAACTAGCCTGATGATCACTGGCGAATCACTAGACTAATGCTGACGAGTAACTAGCCTGATCACTGCTGGCGATCACGTAGTCTGAGGATTGCTGGATAATTACTTACCTGATGACTGCTGACAAAAAACTAGCCTGATAACTGCTGGTAATTAACTAACCGATGATTGTTCTTGAGTAATTAACCAGGTGATTGCTGACGAATAACTAGAATTACTAGCCTGATAACTCCTGTAGGACAAGTAGCCTGATAACTGCGACCAAGCATGACGACGGCTGGCGAGACACTAACCTGTTGACTGCTGCCGATCAAGTAGCCTCATGAATGCTACTGAGTAACTAGCTTAATGAGATGACTGCTGGCGGATAACTAGCTTTGTCTGACGCTGAACTGAAGGACAAGTAGCGTGCTAGTTGCAGAGGAACCATGACAGGCTGGAAAAAAAAAGCGACCAACACAGAGCTGGACCTGATTAGCGCAAACAAACTGACCTTAAGAGCAGCCTTGTTGATTGTCTTGCATGCAAATTTCTCCCCCGTCGCCCGGCACACCGCCACCCGAGTCACTCCAAACTGCCCCGACCCAAGCTCTTGATCCATCTGCACCGCATACGACGCCCCTACATCCCTATACTCCCCTCCCAGAATGTTCACTGCTCCCATCCCTCCTCCCACGAGCTTACTGAACCCCTTCATTGCTTTTTCCAGGAATCTTTTCCCCTTAGCACGGAAAAACGACTGGTGTACTTCCTCTAAAGCGGCATCGTCTTCAAGCAAGTCGTCTTGTAAGGAGGATGCTGAAGCAGGAGAGGAGGTGCGAGTTGGCGTTTTGGGTCGCACTTGTGCTTCGTTATAAGCAGATCCACTACCAGATCCGTTGGAGGCCGAAGACGGCATTCGGGTGGGAGTTTTGGACCTCCTTTCACCTAAAGGGTTGTTATCCCCGTTATAACCAGACCCAGTAGAAGCAGAGGACGGCATGCGAGTAGGAGTCTTAACTCTCTGTTCACCTGGAGGATGCTTTTCCTTATCCCCACTATAAGCAGACCCAACAGAAGCAGAAACGGGCATACGAGTGGGCGTTCTGGGCCTGCCTCTATCCTCGTTATGAGCAGATCTGCTGGATGCAGAGGAGGAGGTGTGAGTGGGCGTTCTGGGCCTGCCTTTATCCTCGTTATGAGCAGATGAGGTGGAGGCAGAGGAGGAGGTCCGAGTCGGTGATTTGGGTGTGCTTCCATGGGCTTGGGGGGCTGCAGCAGCACTAGAAGTCGAGGAGGAGCGGGTGGGCGTTCGTGGCCCACCTGAACCGCCACCTGAAGCACCTGAAGCATGACCTGCCGAGGAGACAGAGGAGGACGAGCTGAACCTCTGCGGCTGCTTGCTTCTCGTCTGCATCTGCGAGGAACCTTCGTCGAAGCTTCCTCCCTGCCCTCTGCCGTCCCTACCTCGGCCCTCCCCCACAACAGGAGACTTAGAAGGGACTTCTCCTCGCGTCTTGTGGAAGGGGGAGGGGGAAGGAGAGGGGGAGGGGGAATCATTGGGGGAGGTGGTGGGGGAGGCGGAGGGGGATGCTTTGGTGGAAAGCTTGGGGGGACGAAGGAGACGTTTTTGGAGCGGACCGCTTGCAGCAGCAGCAAGAGCAGAGCGAGGAGCATCGGACACATCGCTGACACTGCTGCTTTTGGTCCTCTGCCTCATGCCACTGCCACTGCCACTTTCACTGCTCCCACCAGCAGCACCACCACCAGCAGCACCAGCAGCAGCAGCACCAGCACCGCCACCTGGTCCATCCACAGTGGCACTCCTCCGAATCACAAACCGCACGTTGCCAGAGCTAGAGCTTTGGTCCGGCGCACGGCCGGTTCGGGGACTAACCAGAGCTGCTGTTGAGGTCTGGCGAGATTGGGGCGGAGAGTGGCCTAGAGAATGAGAGTGTGACATGACTGGATTGTTACTATTATGAGGGAAGAGGTCTATTTCCCCTGCAGCATTCTCAGGTTCGGGTGTGAGGTATGAGTGCTGGTGGGAGTGAGGGGGCGAGTAGTCAACAGAGTGAGAGTCGGCCATTCTGGAAAGCGGGCTGCGAGGAGGGGAGAAATCCACAGATGCCACGTGGCCGCGTCTGATTGGCCGGTTGAGCGACTCGGTCTCGGCTGATTGGTGCCTAGCTAGCCTCCTTCCCCCACTACCCGCACCAACCCCACCAACCCCACCAGCCACAGCAGCCCCAGCAGCACCAGCAGCCGCCCCTGTTGGCCTCACTCCCCTTCCTGCTCCAACAGCGTTTTCGCTGGAGCTGCTTCTGGGGCTCATCATGCCAGCACTCACGTCCCCACTGCCTGTCCTTCTTACTACTTGATGCTGTTGCTGCCATTCCTGCCGCTGTCGCTGCCTCTCCACGTCTGACGTGTACCTCCTCTGCAGCCTGCGCCCACCTGGCGATACACCCCCTGCCACGTCACCACCATCCACGTCACCATCCGCCACGTCAGGAGCGCTGGCAAAATGCCGCAGATTAACCCCCGGAACAAGCGACGTGCCATCACCCCCTTCGCTCATGCTCTTGTGCATCATCCGCCGAAACCCTCCCCCCTGCGGTGCCACCCCACGCCCTCCCATCTGCCCTCCTGTCCGCCCTGCCACTTGCCCTGCCACTTGCCCTCCAACCTGCCCTCCCACCCACCCGCCCTGCATCCTGGGCTCACCAAACGGCCCATCGCCCTCCTCCGCACTGCTGCTCTCCGGCACACGAGCCAGAGGCTGCACGAGGTGCGGGGACTGTGGCAGGGCGAGGTGCGGGGATTGTGGCAGGGCGACATGTGGGGAGAGCGGCTGGCTGTTCTGAGGGGACAGAAGCATGTGGTGGCCATCCTGCAGAGCGCCCTGGGAGAGAGGACCGAGCATTGGACGGGAGCTGTGCCCCCCTTGCCCCTGCATGCGGACTTCCCGCGGGCTGATCAGAGCAGCCGCTGTCGTGTGCCCATGCCCGCCCGCTGCTGCTGCTGCAACACCCACGGTGCCAGTGGCAACACCAGCGGCAGCAGCAGCGCCAGCGCCGGTCCTGCTCCGCTGAGGAATGCTGCTACCGTCAACAGTAGCAGCACGGGGCAAAGCACAAGAGAACCCCCCCAGGGAGCCCCCTCCCCTCGCGCGTATGTGCTGCTGGCTGCGCTCCCGCTGCTCCCACTGCCCTCCCTGCCCCACCTGCTCCCCCTGCCCCCACTGTCCCCCCTGCCCGCTCTCTGCCCTGCCATTAGTGCCTGAACCAGTAGCACCAGCCTCCCCAGGTGATGCCTCCCTGCTCCTGCTTCCCACCACCGTTGCACTCATGCTACGTGGCAGCCCCTCATTGGACAGCGACGGCTCCCTGCTCCTTGAGAATCTGCGATTCAAAAATATCTCCTCGTTGCTTCCACCCCTCCCCCTCTCCCAATCCCCCTGACCCCCCATCCGCGCAACCCCCAGTCCCGCCACTCTCTCCCAACCCCCTCCATCGCCCCCGTCTCCCCTCCCACCTCCCCTTCCCCCTGGCGCTCCTCCCCTCCCCCCGCTTCCCCCTCTTCCCCCGCGCCCTCCCCCCCACAGGCGCGGGGAGAGCTCAGCGGAAGCAGCAGAGCAGCTTCTGCTGTGCCAGGGGGAGCTAGGGCGGGGGAAGAGTGCATCGGGGGAGGTGCTTCTGGGGGAGGCGGCAACTGGGGAGGGCAGGGAGCAAGTGGATCGCGAGTTTCGGTGCGCAGCAGAGAGGTCGAAAGACAGGTCGCCCCCGCCAGCACTGCTGCTGGTAGTCCTATGGTCCCTATTATCTCTACCATCAGCGGCAGCAGCAGCGCCAGTATTAGCACGAGCAGCAGCAGCATCGTCTTCATCGTTTTCATCGTCTGAGTCGATTTCCTTCAAGATGTGGGCAAAGGATGGCGAGATGAGCCGCAGCCTCCGCTGCTCCTCTGATTCCACACCACTCTGCTGCTGCTTCTGCCCCTGCTGCGTCTGTCCCTGCTGCTGTGGCTGCTGCTGCGCCTGACCCTGCTGCTGCTTCAACTGGTCTGTCTCATCCTCATCGTCATCCTCATCCTCGTCATCTCCCACCTCATTTAGAATATAAGCAAACGAGGGCGACACCAGCCGCAGCCGCCGCTGCTTCTCCTCCTCTAACGCGTCAGCCAAAGACGGGCCCTCCGTCTCCCTTCCCCCTCCTGCCCCTTCAACCCCCACCCCGAACGGACTCACCCTGATGCCCCCATCAAGAGCAATAGAACCAGCAGCAGCACTGTCAGCACCAACCGCCGCTGCCGCAGCAGCAGCAGCAGCTGCTGCCCGAGACGCTGCAGATACCACTACTCTTGCTGGTTCCCCCATTCGCTTCCCCTCCTCTCCCTCCCCTTCCCTCCCTTCCTCCCCATCACTCTCATCATCCACCTGGTTGAGAATGGAGGCGAAGGAGGGGGACGTGAGGTACAGCCGCCGCTGCCTCTCTGCCAGCGTCTCACTACGCTCCAGTTCACCAGCACCACTCTCAGCACCACTCTCAGCGGCACCACCACCACCACCACCAGGCACAGCAGCAGCCGCCGCAGCAGCCGCACCACCACACGCAGCAGGAACAATAGAAGCAGCAGAGTATGAAGCCTGGGCGGGCGGCATGGGAGCAGGCGAGCCTGCCTCCCCTTTGACTCCCTGCAGTGACACATCCGACAGCCGCCGCTCCTCCTCCTCGTAACCACTCTTCTGGTTACCACCCTTGTGGTAACCACCCTCTTCCCCTTCCCCCAGCAGCACCCTTTCTTCTGTGTACCCTGCCTCGTCCAAGTCACTCCCCTCATCCTCCCACTCCCCCTCATCCTCATTCTCTCTCTCATCCTCACACTCTCCCTCAGGGACCGAATCCATGCTTCCACTTGACCTGCCCGACCCTCTCCTCCCTCTCCCAATCCTCCTTTCTCCTCCTCCTCTTCCTCCCCCCTTTCCTACTCGTTGTCCCTCGTTTCTCACTCTCGGCTGATAACCCCCTCGTCCCCCCTCTCTGTTCTGGCTAGCGGATGGCAGATCGAACTGAATCTGCCTTTGACGCGTCTGTTGACCGCGCCACTCCCCACCTCCCCTCTCCATCCCCTCTCCCTCAAACCCATCCTCCTCCCCCTCCTCTCCCTCCTCTCTCTCCTCTCTCTCCTCTCTCTCCTCTCCCTCCTCTTCGAAAAAGTCATCCCCATCCTCCTCCATCCAAGTAGGTCTCTTCTTGCTCCCCCCTCTTTCCGGAAAATACCTCACACTCCCCGCCCCACTCCCGCTATAATCACTATCCGCATCGTCACTCCTCCCACTCCCACTCTTACTGCTCCTCGTACTGCTCCTCTCACTCCTCCCACTCCTCCCCTCACTCCTCCCACCCCTTCCATCCCCCGTCCTAATCGCACTCCTTTCCCTTTCATCTCTTATCGAATCATCCCTCTCCCTCCGTCCCACGCCGTCTCCTCTCTTCCTCCATCCATCCCCGCTATAGGGCTCCTCAATCTGCTCTACAAAGTCCCAATTCCCATCACTGCTGCCATCACTCCCACTTCCACGCCCATTCTCCCTCCTCTCCCGCGCATGACTATGGCCCCTCTCCGTGCTATGCTCGTCCTGCCGCCCGTATCCCACTTCCTGCCGCCCGTGAGCGTTCACCTGCCGGCCACTGCCACCTTCTTGAAGGCCACTGCCCCCATGCGACCGGCCGCTGACACCACCCTGCCGGCCACCGCCAGCGGCATGCCGTCCGCTGCCGCCCTCCCTACCGCTGCCGCCCTCCCTACCGCTGCCGCCCTCCCTACCGCTGCCGCCCTCCCTACCGCTGCCGCCCTCCCTACCGCTGCCGCCCTCCCTACCGCTGCCGCCCTCCCTACCGCTGCCGCCCTCCCTACCGCTGCCGCCTTCCCTAGTGCTGCTGCCCGCAGAGCTCCGCCCGCTGCCGTCCCGCGCCACCCGCCGCTCTTCCCCTTCTCCCGATCCACTGCGCACGGCTTGCGCGGGCACTCGCGTTCCCGACCTTCCAGATCCCGAGCCTGCAGATTCCGACCCTCCGGATCCCGAACCTCCAGAACCCGAGCCGCTCACCCGGACATGCCGAGCCTGATTAGCAGGTCCGCCAGGCCGTTCCGCCTCAGGCGTGCGCATTCGCTGCAGCGACGGCTGTGGCCCTCCGCGCATGTTCCCCACCCCCGTGTGAGCGGAATCCGCGCGGGGGAAACCTCCGCCAGGAGCATCAGGAACAGAGGCCCCGCGGAAGAGAATGGGGGACTTGGAGCGGCTCCGCTCAACGGCGCTTCCGCCGCCGCCATCGCGAGAAATAGCGCGACCCATCAGCGGGGATTTCGACCTGCTCCGCGCAACCCCGCCGCCTTTCTCCGCTCCGCCAACCCCCGCCGCCGGTCTCCCCCGTTGCTCTCCTCCGACCTGGCGCGCGGCTTTCGCGGGGAGCTCGTTCAACCAGTTGGAAAGGTGCGACACGCCGCCCATGGCGCCGCCGACCGCGGCGCCCATTCCGCCGACCGCGGCGCCCATTCCGCCGACCGCGGCGCCCATTCCGCCTACCGCGGCGCCCATTGCGCCGCCTATCGCGCTGCCCATTGTCGGCGTCGTGGGGCGCCGGGGCTGCGTAGCATTCGGCGGGACGAACGGGTGGTTACTAACGGGACTAACGGGGCCGGCGGCGCCGGGAGCGGCGGGAGCGGCGGCTAACTTGTGCTGGAGATGAAGGATCTTCTGCTGCTGGCGCGACTCGAGAGCATTGGGCTGGTGAAGCTTGTGAATGAGCTGTGACGCTTTATTTGCCTGCTGCTGCTGCTGGTGTTGCTGTTGCTGCTGCTGCTGCTGCTGCTGCTGAAACGTAAGCATTGCGCCGTGCGCGGGACGGCGGTCCCGCGTTGTTTGCATCGTGCAAAAGCGGATACTGTCTGAAAAAAGTCGGGCTGCAGCTAACTGTGAGCGAAAAGAACCTCGTGGGCGAGCGAGGTAATCAGAAATGAGCTAGTTCAAAATAAGCTGTCCTCTCTTTAAGTGAGTGGAAGAACGAAAATTAGGGTAGGAAGCTCAGCCTGAGGAACAGAGAGAAGCTGAATCGACATACCGCTGAACCGCCTTACCCCAGCTCTAGATCATTAGGTTACTGGCCAGTTACGACGGACGAAAGATAACGGGAAACGCATTTTCGTGATTCTCGCTCAGAGAGAATGGCGAGGAGAGCAAGCCATTCTAGTTTACAAGAAAGCGATGGGCTTGCGGGAGGCTGCTTTGAGTGAACTTATGAGGGCAACTCACATCAAGCCCAACAGGCGAGACGAGTTGTCTACAATTCTGAGAGGTACCATGCAAATGCGCAACAATTCCTGAGTGGCAGCAGCAAGGAACAAAACTCGTTCCAAGGGAACAAGACTTGCTATGGAATGGCACAAGGGGATGGAGGAAGGCAAGGCAATACAACGCGGGAGCAGCAATGATGACGTGCAGTGCAGACAACGCGGGAACCTGGACTAGTTTACCGTACTGAACCGCTATATGCCATGTAGCATCGCGCCGAACTTTCAGAAAGCATACAACGCCAAATTTGACCTGATTTGGACACAAAAAACAGAGGTGTACGAAGCAGGGAAAAAGGGATCTTGATTTGCGATATGGAGACCCTGCCAGATTCGAGGTGGGACCTAGGTTGTTCCTGCCTCTGTTGGGTGTCAGTAGACGGAGTTTCGACTGGTGGGGAGGAATTCTGAAAATGTTGGCACCTATGCTGGTTCCTGGTGGGACCTAGGTTGTTCCTACCTCTGATGGGTTGTAAAATCATGTCGTGTTGGTCTGCTATCGTTCCTGGTGATTTCACTCAACTTGTCCAGAATGAGGATATTCGATAGCTTGTTCTTGCGAGACTTTCTACTTGTAAGGAAATTCCCTTTTCCTTACTTCGCATCTTTGCTCAACGCGTACATCACTGTAGCACCTCAGTCAGCACCGTTACCACTCGCGACCATCGCATCATTCATCATCCCGCCATTTTCGCACATCGCATCCCGACCTCACGGCTCGGCTGGTAACCCGCGCTCCGGGCCTACGCTTCGACACGTTCCCAACCTCAGTCCCAGGCTCGTCGCGCGACCATTACCGTTACCACTGTAGTTTCGCTATATATTCTTCGCTCATACCTTCGCTCATTGTACTCTTGCTTCGATAGTGCAATTCTCGCTCGTTCACTCACTTGCACTCGTAACACTTGGTATTCAGAGCCTACGATCCCATCTCGGACCGCATCCACACCTTCACTTCCCCACTATCTCAATTTTTGGGGGGGGTAGACGTCTCTCAGCGATACAGCACCGCCGCTCGTAGTGCTCTCTCGCAAGCACGCACGGCCACGACCGAGGCTCTCGCTGAGCTTGCCCGACACCCCCGCCATGGCCGATTTCACGCTCGCCACATTGACGCAGGAGCAACTTGATCGTCTCGTGCGTCAACTGGAGGATTCGGCGCTTGAAATCGCGACCCTCACGGCGGAACGTGACTCCGCCCGTCAACAATCCACGATGAACGTACCGACGACATCCCACGCACCAACAAAGGCATCTGCACGTTCGGAGGAGCCGATCATCATCTCGTCCGGCACACCAACACAACACGACAGCACGGGACAACGCTCAGGCGCAGACAGTGAGGGCGCCGCCCAGCCGATGCCTGGCATGGGAGGAAACAGGATCGCACCAAGCCCACGGGAGCCTCGAGAAGTCTGTCGGCACGTGGAATTTGCGGCGACAAGTGGCGAACAACCCAACATGGCACCAATGCCGCTCAAGCCGCAACGCCCGCCCTGCTTCGACCCAAGTCAACGCGGCGGTCCGACAGTTCAATCGTGGGTCTTCACGATGAACGTTTTCTTCGACGCCAATTACGTCGAGTCGGACGCCGCAAAGATCCGGTATGCGGTTTCACTGCTAAGAGGCCCCGCCATGGACTGGTGGCGAGTCATCGTGACGTCGCCACGCGCCTACGAGCCACCGTCGCACGAGGAAGGGCCCTCGGGTCCAGCTGTCACCTGGAGTTCGTTCTGCGAGACCGCCCAATACAGCACGTGGGATGCGTGGTGCGCAGGACTTCGGGCGCGTTTTGAGCCGATCGCGACTTCAATTTCGGCGCGTCAGAAACTGCGCACTTGGCGCCAGCTCGGGTCAGTTCAAGACTATACCAGCGGTTTTCTCGCACTTTGCGAGCAGGTCGGCTACATGCACGAAGCGGAGCGGGTGGACCGTTACGTCGGAGGGCTGAAGCCGGACATCTCGCACGAGATAATGCTGCGCGGACTCTCTAACTTCAACGAGATTCTCGCGCTCGCCGAGAAGATCGACATTCTACGCCGACCGAGACCGGGGTCCTATTACGGACATCGTCCTCGGGGACCGACCGAGCACGCCACTGTACACGTCGTCGCAACGAATGCAGCTGCCGCACCGTTTAAGGGGCGCTGCTTTGCTTGCAACAGACCGGGCCATCGCAAGAGCGAATGCCCAGAGGAGCTGAGGCGCCGAGGAGCAGAGCAGGGGAGGGAGTCTCAGAGGCAGGGAAACGCCAGCAGTCAGTAGAAGTTGGGCCAACTACTGACGAGACTGCCTGCTCGCCCAACCACACCGACCCTCACCGAGTCACAGTACCGATTCATGCCATCGATCGGGCTCGGATGAATAAGGAGGGTACAGCGACGGATTGCCCGGTACTAATCTACGGGAAAATACAGGGAGCAGCAGTGAAGATATTTATTGACGGAGGAGCAAGTCACAGCTTAGTTAATACCGCAACCGCACGGAAATTACAGTTAACACTTAACCGATGCTTACCTGAGATAGATGCACGCTTAGTCGACGGCACGCCACTGGCTATACGGGAAAAGGTGGAGAGAGTAAAGGTCCGCTGCGGAGGGAACTTCGGGTTTACACAGGAAATGCTCGCAACGACACTGGATGGGCACAACATTTTATTGGGACGTGATTGGCTGCGACGGTATTGTCAAACATTATATATGTTCTGCTTGTGTAGGCTACAGTGGGTTAGCCTATAGGGGGTACACAATTCTAGGGTTTCCTACTTGTACTCATTTCACTGCTAGTTCATTCATTCCTGTTCGCTTATTCTCACATGGTATCAGAGCGAAGGTCTCGGGTTCGAATCCCGGTGTATGTACTTCGGGCATCCCAGTGCGGGGGGGCGCGACTTGTCTGCGGACAAGCTGTCCCCCCGTGCTGCTCCCTGTGTCTTCCTTGGCTTCCCCCCTGACGCTCCAGGGTGGCAGTTCTACCACCCCTCCTCTCGTCGTGTTCTGTCCTCCCAGGACGTCACGTTCGACGAGTCAGTCCCCTTCTACCGCCTCTTCCCCTACCGTACTCCTTCCCTCCCCCCCCCCCACCGGACTTCCTGGTGCCAGTTCCCCCCCCGGTAGACCCCCTCCCCCCTCAGGTTCCTGCCCCTTCAGGTGTGTCCCAGGTAGACACAGTCGAGCCAGTCGAGGTTGCTGCTGAGTCTGGTCCTGCTGCGGGTGCAGAGTCTGGGGGTGCTACGCCTGCGGGTGCTGAGCTTGGGGGTGCTGCTGCTGGGGGTGCTGAGCCTGGGGGTGCGAGGCCGGGGGGTGCTGAGCTTGGGGGTGCTGCTGCTGGGGGTGCTGAGCCGGGGGGTGCTACGTCAGGAGCTGCTGAGCCTGGGGGTGCTGAGCCTGGAGGTGCCGAGCCTGCGGCTGCTGGGCGGGAGCCGCTCTCTCCACAGGAGCTGCGCGAGTGGTTTGCTCGCCGCTGGAGGCGTGCTGCTGGAGCTGGAGCTTCTTCGCCTGCTGAGGGTGCTGCCGGTCCCGGAGCTGCTGGGCCTGCGAGTCCTACTGGAGCTGGAGCTACTGAGTCTGGGGGTGCTGAGTCTGGAGCTGCTGAGCCTGGAGGTGCTGAGTCTGGAGCTGCTGAGCCTGGGGGTGCTACGTCTGGAGCTGCTGTGCCTGGGGGTGCTGAGTCTGGAGCTGCTGAGCCTGGGGTTTCTCCTGCTGCTGCGTCTCGCCGGGAGCCCCTCTCTCCACAGGAGCTGCGCGAGTGGTTTGCTCGCCCCTGGAGGAGTGCTGCTGGAGCTGGAGCTTCGTCGACCGTCGAGGGTGTTGGTGCTGAGACTACTGCTGTCTGTCCTGGCGGTGGTTCTGCTGCTGGTGCTGCTGGAGGTCCTGCCGCTGGAGGTGTTGGTGGCGCTGGTGCTGTCGCTGAGGGTGCTGGTGCTGTCCCTGCTGAGTCTGGAGCTGCCGCGCGGCCTCGGCCGTACTTCCTTCCGCTCCTACAGCAGGTTCTTGGTCTTTCTCCTTCGGTAGAGTGTCCACAGCCTGTCCACTCGCAGTCACTGTTGGAGCCTTCCTCTCCTCTGCCTGCTCCCTCTCCTTACACTGGTCCTACTGGAGGTCTTGCTGAGCGTCGTGAGCCTGCGTCTCGTCCCGCGTCGCCGGTTCGTGCTGCTCGCGCTAGTGGTCGCGGTTCGCGTCAGCGTCCTCCTCCTGTCCCTGGCACGCACCGGATGTCTCTGCGTCCGTCCACTGCTCCTCTGCGTGCCCCTTTGCCTTCTCCTCCTGAGTCCTCTCTTCCTGCGCTTGCCGCCCCTGAGTCGGACTCTCTTCGCGCTGCCAGTCCTACTGTCACGCGTCTGCTTGCTACTGTCGTCACTGACCCCTCTTTTGAGTCCACTGCTGCGTCTGCTCTAGTCGCTGAGCTCGTTGACTTTGCTGCTCGCTGTCGTCTCGACTACGCTGCTAGTCTTGTTGCTGAGTCTGCGTCTGTCTGTCCTCCGTCCGTCGGGGGTGAGTGTGCTCTTGGCACGGACGTCCTAGAGGACAGGCAGGAGGAGTTACAGTGTCTAGCGGCTGCTTCACCTCATCTCGCGTC